AACATAATAATAAATGAAATGGGATTTAAAGTCCTACGTTTCAGCACAGACCAGACAAATGGGGTTTAAAGTTGCAATTTCATATTTTTACGTTATATTTTTAAAATTTATTAAAATAAAGCCTTAAAATAGATAGTATCTATAAACAGTCCTACCTTGTTAAAGAATAATCCTATTAATCCTATAATTCACTATTGCCAGTTGAGAAATTGTCAAAAATATCATTTTCCTCTTCAAATTCAAACGTTTGAAGATCGCTACTCCATTGTGGAGAATAGAAAACAAGGGATGTAATTGGGAGGTAATTGTGTTATTATTTCCGGTGTAAATGAGTTTTAAGTGTGAGAATGACACCTATGATCGTATAATAGTGAGTTGACAACCTATTGAGCAAAAGACATTATAGCAATAATTATGTTTTGACTTTCTTAGAAAATATGAAATTGTAACTTTAACGACTTACTGTGTTCTGCTCCGAATGACGTCCTACGATTCTGCTAATGAAGATGGAGGCAATAAAGACCACCAAAAAGATGACTGGCGTTTAAATATTTCCCATACGACTTTCCTTGCAGAGTAAGTGTTTGTCGAACTTCCTGGAATTATTTCTCAATTTAACACGGGTTGTGTGTATGTTTGATATCAATTTGAAAGGATTAGTGTTAGAATTTTGTTTACGTTATATTAGCAACTATTACTTGTATTTTATCAGCGCATTCTAGAAAGGTTAGGTAGAAGTCAGTAAAATTTCGCACTTTATATTTTTAGTAACGAATTAAACTCTCACAAAGCTGATAATATTGTGTTGCTTTCTACCTAAAAACTGTTTATGGTTGTCAATGTAGCCAATATTAATGATATAAAAGTAAATAGATGGACTTTAAAGAAGTGATAAGAGTAACTATTTTTTACTTCAAGAGCACAAACATCAAGCACACAAACCTGACATGTGCTTAAAGATCTTGCTTTTTAACACACTAAAACCAAATTTCGGCTAAATAAATTCGATCTACAGTGAACTTAGCATAGCCTTAGTCATGTTCCTGAAGCAACGACTGCGAGTTTCACAACATCTGACCGTTGCTTGTTGACTTCAAAATTCCCGAACTTGTAGCTATGTTATCTACAGACACGTGGGCAGTAGCGTCCAATCAGAGGTTGTGACATCGCGACCTCCACGGAAACCTTGACATTGAATGAACCTTGAACTTTGCAACTCGGTTATCACACGTTGACATTTTAGCTTGAAAGCGCGAGTCTTGTTATTCGCGACGATCGAGGAATCTGATAGGCTCACAAGTTGGGCTTGTTCCCAATCGAAATTAGTGCCGCAGTATGCAGGGTATTACGTGAAGGCCCTGATCAGATGTACGTAGTTAAAGCGAGATCAAGTCTTCTATTGAAGCACTCAACTGGGCTTACATACGCCCAGATGGGTTAGGGTAGACTACCGGGATAGCATGCATTGATACTAACAATAATTAAACGTCGATATGCTCAGATTAATAATATACTAACTTGACTTTATTATTGGCTACACAATATGCGTAATTAAAGTCTAAGATAATGTTAGATAGTTGATTGAGGTCAAATCAGCGAGTTAATTTTACGTCGCGAGGTTGACAATTACTTTAAAATAATATGGTTTGAAGTGTATAATATTATCTTTGAACGTAAATCAAGTCGAGTATCGCCCGAACACTACATGGCGGTTCACTGGGTAAGGCACTGGCCCACTATCCGGTAGGTCACTGGTTCGATCCCGGTGTTGACCGGGAAAATTCCTAAGGATTTTCCAGTGTGTACGAGTTGCAGGATGGAGGGCCTGGCAAGGACAGCGTCTAGTCGCTCGGATGGAAATAAGGACCTAGGTCCTGTGTACACGTTGACGTGCACGTGACAGAACTTTTTGCAGTTGCAATTCGATATAAGAATAGACCGTAGCGCCGCTGTTCGGGCAAAATTTCGCTCATAGTATACTGTATGGTATATGGTCATTTTCATTAGAACAGTCGGTGCAGTATGACGTTAACTTTAATCCCAAATCGATATTTTCTGTAAACAAAACTAAATGAAATTGGATAATATTTTATCTATGTGCTCTAATGCATATTCTTATAAACCTGCTGATGCATAAAAAAGTTATTCTAGATCAAATCAGCTATTTTCAAACTTATCCTGTATTTGATTTGATATCGCGTTGTTTAGAACTAAAATATATCTTTCGTCTATTGTCGCAAATCTATTTCAGTAATACTGCGCTGATGTTTCTGTATTAATAACTCACGCGTGATATAAGCTAGATATCTTTTATGAAATCATTTTAATTCGGGCATGGTGAGCTAAATATGCATATCTATAATATCTTTTGGACGGTACTATTTTGTCTTTTTAGCCCATGGATTTGAAATTTGATTGCTCGTTATATACTTATTTATACCTTCTCTAAATTCATAGTTCAAACAATATCTAGATCATAGATAGTTATCAAAGACAGAACACTAAAACCATCTATAAGTTTGACTATATTTAGCCACAGCTTTATTGCAAACAAATAATATTATACTAATATAACTAAACTAATATGATTCAAAAATACCAATGCTAATTATTCTCGCCCTGGGTTTCATAGTTCCAACTACGTAATCCATAATGCCATTCGATTTTGTAGCCTTGGGTTTCATAGTTCCATCTACATACATACATAATTCAAATTAATATGTGTGGCCCTGGATTGCAGAGTACCAACTACATGTACATACAAAATTTACTATTTCCAACAACACGTACACGTACACACAAATACCAATACATCTCAATAAGATCATTATTCAGAACAGCAAAATCGGAAATTGGCAGTAAAAAGAGCACGTTTTATCATAGCTACGAGAACGTAACTAAAAACGAGATATACTGATGTGCTTGTTTTTAGTTACGATTGGATGCCTTTAGTTCCAAGTGGCAAACTCAATTTCTTTATTAATGTATGTACCATCTTAAAAATAAGTTAATTTTATACTATTAGTACTTATTACACATACGCAGCCCAATCTACTGAAACAACATTCATTTATCAGCAAATATTGACAATAAAGTAAATCAAGCGTTGTTTTTTTATCAAAATTGATTCGGGCGTTCATAATTACGCCGTATTACTACTGCGCAACTCTGATCAGATGGGTACTTTGATTGGCTATTGCACACGAGGCCCCGCCTTTATGTGTTACAGACGTAAATTTTAAATGTCGAAAAAAGCAATCTACTGTCGCTTCGATTTAAAAAGAGGGGATTTGTACCCGTTTCAGGTAGGATTATATGCTTAATTGTAGTTGGGTGTGGCAGAAATATTAAAAATAACAATAACCAATCGTTTTTTTTGATTAAAAATATTGTCAATTTTGTTTACAAATGCCGGGTGCGAATCTCCCCCGCATGTGCTACATTGAAGGTAATGGCATCATCTCTTATCTCGAAACACGGAGGGTTGAGTGATTAAGGTTTGTTATCTAGTTTTATCATAGTAGTGAGGCAAGCAAGAACAGCGGCGTTATCATACAGGCTCTGAAAATAGAAAGAGAACAAAAAGTCTGGATCGCAATAACATATTACGAGTATCTAATAACAAAAAGTGTAAAAGGATGGTGGGTTTAAAATTTTCCTTCTCTTGACAGAAACACGTCTTGTACTACTAGAGAGGCAGGTCACATGCTTAGTAAACTATATTTGCATATTAGAAATGTTTAACTATTTGTATGCATACACTCTAAAAATACCGATCTCTTCGATACAGGGGCCTGGTGATGGTCATTTGAGGTTACGTACGACCGAGACTCATCCTTACCTTGGACTTGCATATGGCATGCACGCCCCCATAAAAAAAATGAAAACGGAAATTATGGAAAATGAGAATGATTGTTTCATTAAAAAATTTAGCAATTAGGAAATATTAAAAATATGATACGAAAAAAACAAAATTATTCTGAGAATAATATTGTGCACTATTCTGATATGCCGGTTATGATTTTGATTTCTGGTGCAAGAATGATTGCAAAACTGGGGCAAAGTCATTGTGACAGTGGCGCATGAGTATTACGACTCACCTACTAATTATCACCAGGCCCTTGCGTCAATAACCAAATTTAAGCATAAACTTAAATTCCCTTATTTGAAATGCTTGCGCTTAAATAACATTCCTATAAAATATGTAGCCTGATTCTACCCGTAATTCTTTATCATACCATTCGATGTAAATGCGTTCATATGTATACAGAATCTGTGTAATTAGTAAGTCTTGGCGTTGGCGTCGTGTATAGAAATAATGAACCAATTATAAACGCATTATGCAAGGTTACTGTGATAATTGTGGTTTTCATAATAATAGGTATAATACATAGTTCACCGGTTTTAAATTTTCAGAACAAGTAAGAAGTGTTTATAATTTATAAACCTATTTGTTCTGTTATTTATCTTTTGTGTTTTTCCAACGCCATTTCGGATCTTTATTTAAGAGTTCTTCATACATGCATCGACTTGATTCACACAATTTTAAATTAAACTATTTTAAGAGTGCTGCCTCTTTCAATGACTAAAGACTAAAATTCTTCAAGAATTGTAAATCTGAGGCAATGAAAATTGATATTAATGCACCGCAATCCAGATTATATGCACCATAATCCACATTTGTTTTCAATGCTCTTTCTACATTTGTTAAATAATATTACCGAGTTGCAAGCATTTAGACCCAAGATCGCTTACCACAGGGCTAACATGTTTTCTGTAATGAACATTCTTTGTTTCTCGACTTGACAGTGACTCTCTATAGCCAAACTGTGTTGGTCGAGAAAGTACCTTGGGGTTTTCCGGTGCGGTTCCCCTTACCAGTGGTGCAGTCGTTCGGATGGAACAAAAAAGCCCCTTTAATTTTAATTTTCAGAAAGAAATAATTATCTGATTAGCGTAATATTTGTTGATATATATATATTATCTTTTGCAGGTTGTAGTCTTGCAGTAGAAGCAGTGGCACACATGGCAGCCAAGTGGAATATTCCAATAATAACCCCAGCTGGCTCTGCTGGAATATTGGCCGATAAAGTGCAATTCCCTACTCTTACCCGTTTGTCCTTCGGTATGCAAGAATACGCTGCCTTTTATTTGGACTTATTGAAGCTGTATGGTTGGAACCATGTGGCACTCTTTTATGAGAGCGATGACGTATTCTCAGGAATTATTGGAAATACATTTTATGAAATATTCCGATCCACTCAATTGTTATTGGTCTACTACCAGATTAAAGGAAGAACTTTTAATGCAAATGATTATAAAAATATTTTACAGAAAGGTCACGCTAATGCAAGAGGTTTGGCTTTATTTTTATCTTTTAAGAGGGGTTGGTGGCCGAATGGTAAACGCGTGCGCGTTCTATCATTAGGTCTGTATTGGGTCAAGTGGCGTGGTTTCGATTTCCCGCTTGTACGTGACAAGGAGTACGGTCGCCTGTCCAACCTCGTAAGTTTTCTCCGGGTCCTCCAGTTTCCTCCCACTGCTAAGGACCCCTCCGCGCAAGCGAATTAATGAAATAAAAATTGAGCCATGTGATAGTCCTAAAATGACCTAGTTTGTGTCAAGTTAAACTCCCCCTCTCTCTCTCTCTCTCTCTCTCTCTCTCTCTTCAGCAGAATTTAAAACGGCCTTTGAATCCCTATCACGTTTAATGTAAAATATCTACTATTTACCACGAAATTCGTTCTAGGTGTATCTTGAATAAAAAAAAACGTTATTCATCAGCTAAATTACTATTCTATTACCATTAAACAGATAACAATCAACTTTATTAAATCAATACACACCCAACAAGGTTTCTTTCTTTATATGTAATATACTTGCAGTTAGACAATTAAAACATCGATTAGGAGCATATTAGTATAGATAATATGCAGTGATGTGTGATACTTATTTATCAAGATAACCATAAATGTTATATTGCAAGTATGAATTTATTTGAAATCTAAACACGATGTTTTTGTCGATGGAGCCATTGTTCCATGCTAAGTTTTATTTTTAAAATGTCGAAAAGATTTTGTAAACACAAGGAGTTTAATTGCAGTAATAAAAGTAGGAATCGTCCAAGCTCTTCCCAGGGACAGATCTACTCTGAAATTAATGATGCTTGAGCTTCTAAATCCTCTAGTCCACATTGCTTAAAACCAGTAGGCACCTTGTTTGTTGCTGTACTGTTACTACACAGAATCAACAAATGTCTCCCATATACCTTATAAAGTTACCTGGAGTTCCTTAGATCCCTGTGTTCACCGAGAAAGTTCTTCAGGATTTTCCGACGTGCTCACCCCAGGTACGAAATGGGGTTTAACGTCCACTCGACACAAACTAGGTCATTTCGGGACTAACATATTGTTTAATTTTTATTTCAATAAAACGTTTGGCAAATAGGGTCGGTGGTCTGAGTTGTTGATACCATTACTGGTGTTCAATTAATTTTTCGCTTGTTATTACTCACCTCGTTTGTATAATTTTCATAAAATTAACCCATTCCTTTTTTTTATTCAGTCTTTATTTTGTTGGCCTCGCCAAACACTGTCAGAAAATTTCTTTCTGTGGCATCCGCATTGGAGTATACATTTGGAGATCATGTGATTATAGCAACCATTCCTGTCAACACAAATTTGGATATTTGGCAAAGAGGCGATGCAGAAGATGAGGTAAGACTTCTAATCAATATGTTCCATTAATGCTGATGACCATTCTTTGTAAAAAAAAAATGTAATAAATCTCAGAAGATTAACGTTTCGGGATAATATTCCAATGAGCAGGCACGGACATGGAGTTCTGTAAAGATCGCTTTTTTCATAATAATTTTTAATTATTTTCTGTTTAGTGAACATGCCTTACAAGTTACATAATAATCTTAAATCTTAAATCAGGAAATGCATAGTAGCTTGGTCTGATAAATTTCGTGCACCATTTTGAATCTTTTGGAGAATGGAAAAACACTGTTTTTGATCTCTTGTCAAAAAGAATCAAATATATAAAACTTAACCCAAGACACCCGCCACCCGAAGTCCTAAATAATACATCCGCAGTTGAATGGCTTGCTTCTCTTCAAGATAGATTTGTTCTAACGCCTGTCGATAAGGCCAGCAATAATTATTCTTACTGAAGTTGGACTTTGGCCTAATACCCATAATGACACTTATAAATGCATTACGGATTTAACTAAACTAGATATTTTACATAACCAATATACATTTAATAGGAGTAATGATATTAAAGACAATGTGAAAATAGATGCACTACCTTACATTTATTATATACCTAAATTCCATAAAAACCCAGTAAAATTCAGATATATAATATCTTCCAGTATCTGCCAAACGAAACCATTAGCTAAGACTATCACCAAAGGGCTTAAATTATGCCAAACCCAACATGCCATTTGGTGCAGAACACTTCGTAGCTATACTGGAATTAATAGTTTTTTTATAATTGATAAAAATTAACCTATAGTAGACACTTTAGAAAAAAATCAATAAAAAAAATTAATACAAACACAATAGAAACGTTCGATTTTTCTACTTTCTATACTATGCTTCAACATGCAGATCTTAAAGATAATTTAGATTGGTTTGTAGATAAAGCCTTTAATGGAGCTTTCGGGAAAGGCAGAAACTTGATGGCCATTTATGCAGAAGATGCTATATGGATTATAAAACGTCGCAATGCCGACACTGTAGTTTTTGATAAAGAAAAATTTCAAAATATCATACATTTCCTCATTGACAATGCCATATTTGAGGTTGGGGATCAGATAATGCAACAAACCATTGGTTTACCAACGGGAACTGACTCCGCCCCATTTATGGCAAATGCACATTTATATAAATACGAATTCGACTTTCAAGACCATAAAAGAAAAACAGATTACAAAGTAGCTAAAAGTCTAAACCATACCTTCCGATACATTGATGGCATAACACCTATCAATGATAACGGAAATTTCAACAAATATAAAAGTGAAATATATCCTCCTGAACTAATATTAAATAAAGAAAATTCCGGTACTATAAATGCATCTGTTCTTGACCTGGACATCAATATAATTAACAATAAATTTAATTTCGGTATTTTAGACAAAACGGACAAATTTGGTTTTGAAGTAGTAAAATACCTGTGTTTCCTATTCACAGGCATTACGATTTTTGACAATATGTAACAATAAAGAATTATTTCTCTCCCGAATAAAATCTCTTTAGTTTAAATGCACTGCCAAAGGCGCTACATAATTACGCATTTTAAAAGAAATTTCAAAACTTCCATTTCTTCAACATACCAAGTTTGACATTTCATGTAAGTATATAACCGACTACATACTGGATAATGATCCAATTTAAATTTTTTTTTAGATTTTCTGTAGTTACCTAACCCTGTCTGAATTACCGCCCTTAATTTTATGCCTTTATAAATACACTTACATAGTACGATTTCTTCGACATACCTGTGGGGTATTATATTAATATATTATAAATTGTACAATTACATAACTTAATAATTCCGATTAGTCGCTAAAACTTATGGTTTTTAAGCTTTTAACGTTATTTTATCTGGATTATCGCCCTTATTATTGTGATTTTTTTATCACCTTCTAAGATATGACGTCATTCCCAAAATAACGTCGCAACTCAGTCAGCAGTCGGTTGTCCCTCGAGACAGTCTACATTTCCTATTTGCTTCTTTGTATTCAGTTTTGTTTTTGTGACGATGGAACATGCACCCTATAATGTATTGAATACTGAAGCGTTTCTTGATTGTATTTAGAGTTTAGACTTTTTTTTATACATTTCACCGATGTGGTTACTTGTATAGTTGAATTTAACTACATATGCTTACATTCGTATTTCGTTTAGCATATAGCAGATCATGACTCATGCTGGCATTACACAATGGGTTCTTTGGGTTGTATTCCTAATTGTTTTCAAATTTGAGTGAAGTCTGTGTCACTACAGACCCGGGACTGTACAGCTCAGTGGACGCTTACTGCTAGCCCCCGGACCCATTCACTTTTTTTTAATTGTCTGTATGTTTGTGTTTTCCTGAGTATGATGTCCTGTCCATGTATTTGTTTTTGTGTAAATTTTGTGTGGTGCAGTCCCCCCGCACTTACTATTGTAGTGATAACTGATATCAGTTTCGTAAATATATGATTTATATACATCAGGAAAATAAATATAAAACAGCTACATAAATTAAACAGGAACTAAACTAAACCAGGAACATAAATAATAACACCAACAAGGCACAGTTTAAGATAACTATTTCGCCCCTCTGCCACGGCAGCGGCCATACGCCGGTCTCCCCTCTCCTCTCCTTTCTCGTCTCTCTAACTTCCAGTAAACAATTAGTGAAAATGGATACGAACGGGATGCTAATTTCTTATAAGGAATTTGAGTCTAACAACACAAACCCATATGGAGTTGCTTATTTACTACGTCATTGTATAGCTGATCACATACGTATTTCATTTTAAGACAATGGCCAGGTTATACACGTGGGATTCATTAATTCTGTAATTCCAACACAGCGAATACATTTCTCGTAGAGCTGAAAAAATAATATCATATATATGTATTATCAAAACTAGCTGGAGGTCATTAAGTTCACTGCACCTAAATAATCGTTCAATTTGTTAAAAGTTATAGAACACTTTGTCACATACCCTAACAAAGCATTGGCTACTTGGAACATGAACTCCCACAGGTTCAGTGTTTAATGCATGTAAGTGTTTTTGTCTTTAACATTTTAAGACACTCTGTTAGTCTTAAAGATATATTATGTAAGATTTCTATAAAGATCTGACAGTCATTGTCATGGCCACTGTTGTTACGATAAGAAACAATCTCTCGATTATCCATTTCTTAATTGAATTATTAACTTGCGATCGTGTTAAAAGACATCTAATAATCTAGAGAGTTGATTATGGTCTTGGCATATGAATAAAAGTTAAATGAATGATTTATTTTTTGAGGCAAAACGAAAGATCTGCATTAGGCAGATTTAGCTCTTACATAATGTATCTTTAATCTCTATAGCAAAGAGCCCAACTTGACAAAACTATGTGTTAAAAAAACAATGATTGTTGTTGGCCATATCCGGTTATTTTGTCTTCTCGCGATCTATAGGATATATTGTTATTTATCTGTCGACGTCTTTGCATTTCCGTCTCTCAAAATCATGAATATTCGCTCCAAACATGACATAATTCAAACACCCTCCATCTCCGGGATGGGTGTCGGGGGACTGTAAATGATCTACATTCGTGAAATATGGGGACATAATGTGCATACAATGCCCCGTACACTTTTTCATTTGATTATCGCCTTCGTGAATATGAACGTATTAGACTTGAGCATAATGTTTAGCCTAACCTAAGTGTTATTTTCCATTCACCAAATCTTATATCACCAGTGTCATACGATATATATATTTATCTGTGTATTGTTCGGTTTATAGCCAGATTACTTAATTGATCTAAGGAAAATTCATTTCATCTCATTACTTCTGTATTGTACTACTGTCAGACTGCACCGGCAAGACTATGTATTGTTCATACACGTTGCAACCTTTGATTTTATTTTACCTGATGTTATTTATAATCCATTGTAATGGCTATCTATTATTGTACGTATGTTTAAAATGTATGGGTGATATATACCCATTACATACATTATAACCACTGAAGGCGCCCGAGAAAGAGCGGACATCTAGCTTATTATACCAGTGTATGTTAATAACAGGCCAATTGCCTACACATGAACATAAACAGTTCATATGGGTGGCTTATCTGACGGCCCAATTTCACTCGCAAAGAGATACACCGCCAAGAGTGGAAATGGACGTTTTTGATTTTTGTCTTAATAATGAGTAATTGCTCCACCAATCCTCAGACATTCAGCAATTCGTCGTGGCATGCTCCTAATCAACCGTCCAATCATGATTTGGGGCAATTTTACCCACTCTTCTTACAGTCCCACGGTCAATTCTTGCAGTGTTGTCGGTTGACGTTGACGTCGACTAACACTCTCTCGATCAAATTAAACGTAACACACTAAAGCAAAGATACGCTAAACAGTAAATCGTATGCAAAAACGGGTAGGAAAACAAACATGGATAAATAAACCAGCACGCGGCAGTTTTCATCAACCCTTCCTTTAAGTGTCAAATTTGACAATGAACCCCTCCCACGTGTATGGCGCTATGTGCAGCTCGGTGGTTCTGTTGGGGCGATAAGTTCTTCATCTGTAAACATACTCTCAAAGCATGTCCATGACTATTTATCATATCGCAACCTGCATAGGTATTTCCATTTCAATATCCCCTACTTTTTTTGAAGATTATATTTGATGCCTATGTATAGGAATAAATTAAATCCTGGCGCATTCTTTTATATATTTTTTTATGTATTTATCTAAGTAAAGATATAATTGCTTGTACATTATCTACTTGAACATTTATATTAAAAAACAGTATTGATGAATGTTTCGTCAAACATAATAATTGTTTGTGGTTGTTTCATATTATGTGACATTTTGCGGGTTGTTTACCGTTTGTTAGCCTTGATTTATTTATCAATTGACGAAACTACTGTCTTATTTGAATCCTTGATCTGGATCGAAATAGTTCTAACAGGCCTTTCTTTTTACCACTCCGAAAATAACCTCCTTTTTTGTTGTTGTAAAAAAATCTAAGGCTCCGGCAATTCATTTACCATCGACATAAAACTTGTCATGCGTGTTACTTGGACAATTAGTCATCGATTGACGTCTTAATTCCAAGATGGCGGCTGTGGTGACGTCACACTTAGTTCTTGGTCTTGCGGACAAATACGATGGAGGTGTAGGGTGAAGAAGCGTCTGGGAATAACTTTCCTGCTTTGTTTTTCTTTTGTTTTTTGCTTTATCTTTTTAATGTTTTAGATATTATTTTGTCCCAACATCATATAATTTACATTGCGTTTTTGAACGATTACTTCTGTTTAAATTAAGTGAATTACCTGTTGTTTATTTTTTAAAAATTAATGTTAATAGCAATAGCCGTTGTATCGTTTACGGGGATGTGTTGTGTTTCTGGATAATAAAACTCTGAAACTATTTTGAATAAGAAGATGAGGAATATGATCAGTTGTTCTTAAAAGCATAACATACCTCTTGCATGGTATAATATCCGTCATCAATTATAATTTGGATTTCAGAAGCCAAGAGATGTTATTAGAAAAGCCTCCATAGCCCTGTGTTTTAATATAAATAAATACAACCAACCATCAGTTTAAAGAAACAGTTCCCTCGGGGGGTTATTAGATCGAACTCTCAAAACTTTATAGAAAATACGATCGCCTTACAAGTTTTAATTGCGTAAAATAAACAAAGAAACCCTACGTACGTATTTGATATAATAAAAGGTTCCTCTAATCCATTAATTTAATGTCACTTAATGGATTTAATTTGTATTCTTGTATATTGTTTTCAGGTTGTTAAACAGGCTTGTCAATGTACAATGTTTATTGCTCTATCAGAAGACTTCAACTTGGAATATATTACCTTTAAAAACGACATCAAGACACGAGCCCTTACCGACTATGGCTTCAATTTTGGAAACGAAGAGGTGAAATCTTTTATCTATTGTAGTAGTGAGAATCTTCGGTAATAATTAAAGACTTGAACTATCCTTGAAATTAATTATTACCGGAAAACATATACGAGGAACAGCATGTCCAACAAGCAGATTAACTGTCCTGGAAACGGGATGAAATGGTATCTCAGGAATTAACTATATACACTCATGTTACTAATAACAATTAAAGAGGAAAGATTAAAATATAAAAGAGATTGCAATAAAATAAAACAATAAGATAGTAATTAAACTCATTAATGTGTCAGCTGTCAATCGTCTGTCATCAGATTAGCAGCTTAACGTCTAATTAAAATCAGGGATTAACAGAAATATAAAAATAATAGAAATGTTTGATTGAATGGGTGAATAATGAACGAACGGATTATTGAAAGAATTAAATAAAAACAGTTCATAAATTTATCACCATTATACTATTAAGACGTGGTTAATCTTATATAAATTTTGGAATATATGTATCTTTCTTGTTATACTGCGGCAGAACAATAGGACGTTAAACCCCATTTTATTTCATTTCATTTATTATACTGCGACATTACTTTCTCCTGGACTTCCGGTTTCACCCCACATATAGAAAGACATAAATAGAATTGTACGTACTACGTGTTACTCCCGAAATGATCTAGTTTGTGCCTGTCACTCTCTATAACAGGTCGTGCTTATTGACCCCAAACTACATACTATTAAGTTATATCCCCACCAATAGCCACCGCAGTTTGGCCTCTCGATTCTCCAGGCGACATACTAAGTTAAGTCTCCACCAATAACATTCGGTTGGTCGAGGATACACAGACTCCACGTTCTAATGTTACGGGGTAACGAATTATTCATTGTTGTATCTCAACTTTAGCAGCCTTTTACGAGCGTGCTCTCTAAACAGAAAACAAAATATTTTAAGATTGTTTAGAAAAATATATCAATTTGTGTCACATTAAGCTACAGTTATCAATACTACTGACCTTGAACTTGTTAATTTCCTACCACACCCTATAAACATGATTGGGGTCTTTAACTTTGATGATTGCCATAAACTGGTAATTCATTGGCCCGTTACAAAATCTCTAATTATAATAATGATTTTAGCTTGTTCCTGCAATAATTGATTGAACAAATATACCGATGTTCGGATGGTACGAGAGAAAGTGATTGTCCGATATATCATGAAACTGAAAACAAGTACAAGCATACTGTATGAACAAGGAAATGAACATCACATCATCGCAGCTGACTTGGAATTGTGACGTTAGATCAAAACTATAAGTCCGAAACGTACTAGAGTTGGTGGAGCTTTTTAGAAATACAAGGAACAAATGTTTGCAACCAGTTTCTGGTTGTCATGAACGAGATACGTATTTTGTTCTCTGAAATAACTGATATCATTTGTTACTACATTTCATTTGGCTCTAATCTCTTGAATATGCAGTGTATTCTCTACCTAAAAATTTAGAAGCTCGCTAATTATCGAATAAAACTCAATAGCTTGTTGGTAACGTTCAGATTTTTGTGCCACTAACCATCTTCTTCTGTACATATAAATCTATATAAACTCTGGCTTGTTTTCAGATCTATATATACTGTAGCTTCATTAGTGTGTAAATATTTATTGGATAAATATTGTTAGGAAAAAATTGCTTGGCCATATTTGGGTCAAATATAAATTTCTCGATTTCATTGGATTGTATGAATTTGAGTTGCTTTTTGTGGATTGGCAATCTATCTTCGTTGAAAATGTTAGGTCCATCAGCAAATGTAGCGCCATGGGTTGTCTGTCAGATGTGGGGAGGGGACGACGCACTAAAACCGATCACCACATCTGGCGTAGACCCATACACTTTTTCTTACTACATATTTTATAACAGCCCTTGGTCGTCTAGTATTGTCTCTGGTCGCATTTGTAATTCTTTAACTGGTTAGAACGTATCTTTAAATGTCACTCTGATATTCCACATTAATGACAGCTTCACGTTGTGATTGAATATACTGCATCTTAAATAGTATGATTAACAAACAAGATGACCGGGACAAAAGTACGGTTTCTACAGTTTTATATCACGCTGGACATATAGTTATAAGGATACATTAAAATATAGTCATTCTCTACTCCCTCTCTCAACCCATATGTTGTCCCTCGAACCTCAACGGTCTCTCCTCTCTTAGAATCTGCCTGGTGTCTGATCTTCTAAAGAATCTGCATGATATCTAAAATTATTCTAGCCCCGCTCTCTATCTTATAGATGCCGAATGACGTAGGCTAATTAGTAATTTTCCACTCACGTGCATTTCAAACAATAACAACTTATCCTTGAAAAACATGTAAATGACAAACATGTTTACTAAACTATACCTCCGTTAACCTCTCAAAATAACCAGCATACTTTCTATATTTTTGGTTATGAACTTTAGAATCAATAGTTTGTAAAGATAAAAATAGTTTCAGTCATCATATTTCTCCATTCCTTGACTTTAGACTCCATATCCTGTTATTGTCACAATATTTCATAAACAATTTAATTTGTGTTTTAAACAAACTTATGCCATAGCTATTATTTTGACAATGGGGAATAATTAATCTGGGCCATAATATTATTTTACATATGTTCTTTAGCACAAATCCCGCCATCCATATTACTGATCTTCCGATCATCTATAATGGATTTGTTCTAGGTGATGGTTTATTGACCCTGTAATTTGGCACTTAGTGCTATATATTTTTTTTTTCGATTTGCCTGTGATTCTTAAAGGTCTTCTTTTTAATTATTTTCAATACGGTAAGGTCTCAATAGCACACAACGCCCCGTTTGCATTAGCCTGGTATGTGCAAAATAGTAGGAATTTCTTATTAAAATTTCTGACACCCAGTTTACGAATTGTTGCTGTAATACTAGGTTCCCACTAACATAATTCCCGCTACGATTGAAATCGTCGTTTTAACCCTGGAGTAATCGTGGTGATCCTATCAAGTTTTATCATATACTATTCAAAAAAAGTAGGGGATATTTGATTTTGGGGGCATAATACTAAAATATGCAAATGACTACGAAAAAAGTCACTATAGAACCTAACAGAAGAAACATTTCCAGTTACATGTGACGCCCAAACGCACCAATAGCTACCGCATGGAATGCAGGTGATGCTTGGGATCATCATGGGGGTCCAACCCAAGATTTGCACGACTCTGACTTTGAATGTTACAGTCATTGTGGCATTGAATTCCAGGGTGGAAACATCAGTTTAATTGTTTTAGTGACCAGAAAACAAATTTTGATATGCGTCGGCTTACCCAAAATGAAAGGTTACGTGCCCTTGGCATGCTACAGATCGGCACAACACAGGCGGTTGTGGCGCGGACGATGAATGTTTCTCAGTCTGTCATAAGCAGGCTATGGTCCAGATACCGTGATACACAATCTGTACAGGACAGACCACGCTCAGGTCGACCATGGGCGACAACTCAAGCCCAGGATCGATTTATCCGTACCTTGGCCTTGAGAAATCGTGTCATCACAGCAAATCAGATCAGCGCTCGTCTTCAAACAGACACTGGTGTGAGAGTGAGTGGCCAGACGATTCGGAATCGACTGCATAGGGGTCACCTTCGCGCCCGACGTCCTCGCGTGATCCCTTGTTTGAGAGATCATCACATTCAGGCAAGACGTCGTTGGTGTAGGGATCGTCAACACTGGGATAATCGACGCTGGAGCAATGTGATGTTTTCAGATGAGTCAAGGTTCACTGTTGATTTTTTGGACAGACGTAGGAGGGTGTGGCGTCGTCGAAACGAGCGCTTCCAAGACGTTAACGTCATCAGACATGATCGATTTGGGGGTGGTTCTGTTATGGTGTGGGGAGGCATCACTGTTGCTGGAAGAACGGCTTTACATGTTGTTGCAGGGCGTGTTACAGGCCAGTACTACCGGGACAACATCTTGGCAGTCCATGTTGTGCCGTTCGCACGACGTCATGGCCGCCGTTTCATCTTCCAGGATGACAACGCAAGATGTCACAGGGCCAGGATCGTTACAGGTTACCTCCAACAACAGAACATCACCACATTACCTTGGCCAGCACTGAGTCCCGACCTCTCCCCCATCGAGCATGTCTGGGACATGCTTGGACAGAGGTTACGTCAACGTCAACAACGTCCTGCCAATGTCCAAGAACTTGCTGCTGCGTTGCAACAGGAATGGGACAATCTGGACCAAAATGACCTTAGACGTCTCATTAGGAGTATGCCACGTCGGATCAATGCTTGTTTGGCAAACAGAGGAGGATTTACCCGTTACTGACTTGGTTGTGATGCTGTGGTAACTTTGCTGTTTGACCCCGGGTATCATTTTACCCTTATAATGGTCAGTCTGTGCCTTACTTAGTCTAACGATCATTTGGAATAAATCGATGAATGTGAACTTCATTTCATTTTGTCATTTGTTTCTTCGTCAGTTTCATTAGGTGACTTTAATAACACTTAAAAATCAAATATCCCCTACTTTTTTGAATAGTATATATTGGGGTCAGTCGTAGCAATTGTATTGATAGTATAGAAACGTACCTGAACGTATCTGCACGTACCAGATCGTGGAATCAATAGGGACAATCCCGTCGTAACGCATCGCACGACAATGGGAACTTAGGATAAGCTTGAAAAAAAAATTCCTCGTTGAACTTGAAGGACTATATCTTAGTTCATAACTGTTTATTTGTAGCCAACAGTTTTGGTATCCGGATTCTACGATGCGGTTGTGATTTATGCCCGGATATTAAACGAGACACTTACAAAAGGTGGAGATCCTTTAAATGGAACATATATATTCTCACAGATGAACAATAGAGTATTTCAGGGTAAGCTACAAACTTTCATTGTCAGACATTTTCAATTCGTTAATGCATTTTGTTAGAGTTAAAACTGTCTGTACTGTATTATTTCTGTCAATTATTTACATTGGATATCGTAGTTGGTATTGACACTATGGAATGGATCAACATATCAGCTTAATGTTTCCTATTGTATTAATGTAATTACGTTTGAGATACACATACTTGAATGGTTTGGTTTTGTGGTCAGGACAATAGACTTGCAACTAGAATGTCCAAATCCTGACTAAGTAAAGAAGAACCCGTGGGATTACCTTACTTAGCTCCATATCCCTAAACAATATTTTATTCGCATCGGGTTTTAGAAAATCCCAGGCTAAATATATTTGTAGTCTGACAAGGAAAGTTTTAAGACCATAAATTAAATGCTGTTATTAAAAATTATTTTGAATCAAAAACATTCAGATTGTACAATTCTAATTTGAATGGTATCCATTTAAATTTTACATTGATTTCTGTCGAGTTCACACCTTTATCTTTACTTATCTGAGATAAATAAAGTAATAATAATATCCGTTTTCTTACAAGCCAACCCATTGTGTATGAAAGTTTTGTTTCATTCTGGCTCTACTTAATTCCATAATAACAAGTGTCTGTCTATTAAAATAATAATAACGACCTGGCTTGTTATGCCTTTAACTTCATATCGTCGTTGATCTAAAGTCTATTCCAATATTTATAACAGATATGAATTATTACTTTAGCTTGGAGAGCCATGTTTATTAGCTTTGATAACATACACTGGAAAGTTGATATCATTGATTTATAAATAAAAAAAAAAACTAATTAGTTAGTTAAAATGATTAGTAATCAGGCTGTGGTCATTAAGTACACGAAGTGTTATGTCACTAATTTTCTAAAACCGTGACCATTGAACGATATACACCACTTTTAGCCAAGTTGGTGTATTCAGTAATGATGGTTATTATACTTAGTCATGCACGATTCTACACAAGCAAAATCTTTTACACACCTTCTAATAAATGGCTACTGTAGAATTTCTGATCATTTTCTATCTAATTATACTAAGTAATGACCCATAGTATGATTTAATAACAAATAATGATCCAAGTTCATTATTAAATGATCCAAGTTCATTATTAAATGATCCAAGTTCATTATTAAATGATCCAAGTTCATTATTAAATGATCCAAGTTCATTATTCAATGGTATCAGGTTAACAGTGATAATTAAGTGTATTACTGTTTCAACAGGTATTGGGGGTAAAGTGTCTATTAATTCAAAAGGTGATAAATATACAGATTTTATATTATATGATATGACCATACCAGATTCAGGCGTTTTTGAGGTAGGAAAGTCATTGTCTATATAAGATACTGTTACTATACCAAACAGCAAAAAAAAACGTCAGTACGATTTCAAAATCAGAGAGGCACTTTAATCAAATCATTCTAGAAAACGACTTATTAAATGGATCAAAACATTTTTTGTGAACACAATTCCAAGATATTAAGAGTGTCTGGACACAGTCTATATATCAGTATCTGGTGTCTCCAAGGCGAGTGTCAATAACAGCAACGCAGCGTCTTAACACATAGGTCAGAATAACGCTGGCCACGTCGACGCCATATTCTGGTCCTGCCATCTGCAGTTGATACGCAATACCGACTCTCATCTGTGAACAAAACAGTTCTCCATTGCCTGTGTCGCCAGTTCTGGTGTTGTTGGGCAAACTGTAGACTTTCACGTCGATGGCGAGGGGTGAGGATCGGTCCACGGTAAGGTCTACGGCAATAGATGTTCTCTCTGGTGGGACGTCGGCGCACTGTATCGGCACTGATGGGTCTTCCGTGTGTTCCTCCTGTCTTACGTGCTGTCTCAGATGCCTTGTGCCGGGGGTTCCGCATGTGCTGTCGCACAGCATGGCGGTCTTGTCGCCTTGTGGTAACCTTTGGTCTACCAGTTCGGGGGCGATCATCCATCATGTTGGTGGCCCGAAAGCGTTGCTGATGCCTGTAGATGGTCCAAACATTGACCTGGAAGTGATTGGCAACGGCTTGGGCAGTGTGGCCAGCGCCGAGTCTTCCAAGCGTCTGGTTCCTCTGAGCTGTCGTGAGTCGTGGCATGCTGCTGACGTTGTAGTGTGAATGATTCAACCAGGTAGGGGGATGCATTTTATGGGGCTGGTCCCGGTGAACAGCACGTGCCGCATTAGTTACATGAAAATTATGGAGAACACATTACCATCTCAGAAGTCCGGTTGCGTTTTTGAGAACATTTTCTTTCTTTCAAATCTGTGTTTGGGAAGGAGCCTTATTGCTCAGGTAAAGTTGGAGACGTGGTCACAAATATACAATAAAAACATTTGGCAAGTTTTACGCAATGCGTCTATTCAGAGTAGCATACCAACCTGACGTTGCTTTTGCTGCTTAGTATATTTTCTAGTATACATGTAGTCTCAAAAGAAAATATGCAAATATACCATCCAATGAATAGCCCGCTTACATTTTAAATATTACAATTACAAATTTGAAATGATTCAGGAATGTCCATGTCGATTGTCATGTCCACGTAAACCTTATAATCGGGATTTTCGCTTCAAAAAGGCCAGGTCAAGTAAATTAAATAAATAGTATATACAACTCTCTTCAAGTTTCCTGTAGATATAGCTAATTAACTCAGGTTTATCTCAAATAATTCTATACAACTATTAGTAACTGGAAAACTAAATTAACATCGTCAATAGTCACATCAACCCAGAATAACGAGCTTAACTTCTTTTAACAAAAAGCGAGCAATATGTATTAAGTTGTACTGCAAAGATAATAACACGTGGGGTCTTATTCGATTTGATTAATTTAGGATAGCTGGTAATTGTTTTTGATTTATTATAGATTGTTGGTTCTTACGATGGTATGACTAAACAATATGTACCAAGAAGTGGTAAAACTATACATTGGCCTGATGATAAAGGTCCACCTCCAGACGTACCAATATGTGGCTTTAGATCAGATATGTGTTCTTCTTCAGGTAACATAAAATTATGTACAATAAAATTAATTGTGTTCATTGCTCTGGGGTTTACTCTTGCCATTAGCTTAGACCACTTCTCATTTATTTGAGAAATCAATAATAGCTATCAATCTCAGTTTAAGGTTGGTGACATCAGCAAAATTGTTGTCAATATATTATATGAAATACGACCAATGAATAACTTGCCATTATACAATGAACTCATTATTTTCGGCGACTACAATAATCGGATATAATCCTGGGATTGACTGCTGTGGCTTACTGGATATCGGACGGGTATATCGAGAATTTTTTATAAAACGGTTATATATTTTTTAACAAATGCTAAAATGATGATAATCACTTTTATAACGTAAGAGAATTTGTGATGGTATAGATATTTCAGATTGATGAAATAATTATCCCGCAAAATTTATCGGGACAATACGCCCTTTCAATCGTTTCAGCATTAGTGCAGCATAACAACTGGGGAATTGTTCAAATTTGAATACAAGTGTAAAAATTGGCACAGATACTCCCTGGAGACTACTGTTTGTAAAAACCCATTAGCCACTCAAAACTCCAAGGATGGTGGCCATTTTCAAGATGTTGGCTATTTTCAAGATGGTCATCTTTCAGGCAACGACAAACCGTCCTATTTCTCTGATCCTTAACATATATTTTAAATCGGACAAAAATGGACATTAAATGGTCCACAATCTTCGTACATATTTCAAAATTGTATGTAAAAGCCGGGGGCCATAACCTACGAAGTAGAGATCCTAAAATGGAACTTGTCCAAGAACTAATGTTGGACACAAACATCTATTGTAAGTCGGGACAGGGGGAAGAGGGCGACAACATAGTACGTTCAAGGGAAAATGTGGGCGTATAAAATGCCTCTCAATCGGCCCAATTGGAACATGACAGCCATCTTGGGAAATGAAAGATATCTTGGAAAATGACAGCCATCTTGAAAATTCTATCCAGATTTGAGAGATTCTTACAGTCATCTCCTCAATTGCATAGACTGATCTGCTACGTGGAAAGGGCATAAACATATATACAAGCTCAGTAAATGTTCTTAATGACACCAGTGAAGGACTGGGTAGCTCTGGGGCCTGGGATCAACTGGTTTCCTTGGACTCCCATCCCGGTGAAGAATAGGTGACGTGATGTTTCTATCTTAACAGAGGACAACCAAGACTACGTTTTCAAATATCCAGTTTATCGTTAAATTCTTAAATCTCGCGAGTGTTCAAATCCATATAAATCTCAGCCATCCGATGATCTAGAGGTTGCTTATTGGATTGTCATGTGAATAAATGTCTAGATAATAATTTATTTAAGAAGCCAAAAGAAAGACGTGCAATAGATTGATTTAGCTCTTACATAATGCGTATATAAATGAATATATTTTTTACTTTTTAGGTATTTCAGATTTTACCGTTACAGTTTTATGTGTTGGTTTTGCCGTTATTATTATTACGGCTATAACCATTGTAGGTTTCATTTACAGGTCAGTTATATTTTTTATAAACAAATTTACCTTCAATTAAACGAGCAAGATTTCAAAGTTGTTTTTCCATACTGTAATGGGATTCGGTAATACAGAATCTTAAGTAGGTCATTAAACCTTATTATAGTTTATTTAATTTAATAGAATCGTGATAGATGCATCATAAAAGACTAATGACATAATTTGTTTGGGTTTTTTTATGGGAAATCAATCACTGTTTTTTTTTATTCTAAAAGCACGACGTTTCGATAAGAATCGATATCAAGCACAATTTTTTTAATAATGAATTTTAGGCGATGGAAGAGGAATATGGAGTCTGACATGTGGTGGTGGAGAATAGCAAAGGATGATCTAGACATAGTAGACAAACAGGATTTAAACAGTTCGGCGATATCTTTTATATCTAAGGTAAAGAAGAAAATTGGGAATTAACTGCACTCGAGTCATAATATGTCGGTTAATACTAATATTAAGTTCTAACTCATGTATAGCTTTGAAATTATAAAAACCAGCCCAACACGTCTGCGCATCGAGGAAAGAATAATCAAACTTGGAGCTGAAAGTCGCAGGTCGTCATTTGAAAAGTTTTATATCGATTGCAAACTACATTACAATATTATTAAAGTTGAATCGCTAAAATGATTCAGTTCCGTTCAGTATTTACAGTGTCACCTAAAAGTGTTGAGTCTTTATAAAACCCTATCGATATATATATTCTTGATTAAAATTTGGCGTTCTTTTAATAAAGGACAAAAAACTGAATACTGCTATAAGAGTGTACAATTATTATAGAAGCAAAAGTAATGCCGTTTTATTTATTCGGTTAGTAGTAGATTTTGAAATTTTAAATTTGTGTGTTTTATCGATTTTTTTTACTTCTCCGGAATCTGTTGAATTATGTCCAATTTTAATGTAATAAACTAATTAACCACATCCAATACAGAAAAGATTAATCAGGAATGTAAACAAATGATAGCGGAATTAACATTACTTTATTTCCCCCTAACGCTAAAAGGTGCTGATCTGAAATAAACAGAAACCGGTGTAAACTTCAATTGGCTCTAATAAGTTACCAATGCTATACTTAAATAATTTTAGGACCAGGATGTTTTGTGTATGAATCCTTTTGATTGGGTATGATTTTAAACTATGTATATTGACTTTCCCTTTAATATATATGCGTGCTTAAAGAGTTGATATATATTAATATATTTATATCAGTAAATCTCAATCTGATTAAAATACAAATTTATATTTCGTTTCGTTTTTTAACTATATAAAACGAAACGAAATAGGACCTGTGTTTAAATCACATTGATTAGATCGGAGTTAGAGGGCACAGTCGTGAAATGAAAAAAAACCTATTTCTCTCTCTCTCACTACAAATAAAAACAGAAGACCCCTTAGCAACAATAAATCTAGAATGCACACACCAGACTTGCAAGCATGTAATTGTAAATATCAATATTTCTGCCAGAAAGCAAACCAATTAATATGTTTAATTCACATAAAGTACGTTTTATTTTATATTAGTAAATCAATAGAAATGTAGAACTCAAATTTACAATTTGTATCAGCTTCCAGTAATACGAGCTACTATTCCCCCTTTCCCAACAGCTTTTGGATTGGAAATTACTTTGGGAGGGGGGGTGGTATCCAATTCCTAAAACTCTATATTCCACTTCATTTGCAATTTAAGTACGTCATCAAAAATTTATTCTAACCACACACACGCACTTTCGAAAAGTTTCCGTTCTCCAGAGCATCGTGTTATTGTTACTCTCCGGTATTCCATTCAATAATCCCTTTTATTTTTATTTCTTTGTCTCCTTATCGGCGTTTCCTACTAGCTATGATTTTTATGTGGATTGGGTGGGACGGAGATTAGTTTAGGGGATTCTTGTCGATATTGTGCTCGTCTTCTATACAGTGGGCTAGATATGTTTCTGAAAACCATCTTCAAACAGCTTTTGGTCTGTCGTGTTGGTCCTTTTAATAATATCCGACAGTCACACCACCCCTCTTTAGAGGAATACACATAGCTAACAAACATGTGTCGTGCTTTTATAGTTACTGCGCAAATAAACAACATTTTCATAAAACCAGCTAATCTTATATTATGCCAAGAAAGTAATCTCCGAAATATAAATACAGGTAGATTGAATTTTAAGCAAATTCCCAACTGGTTTTCACTACTAACAAAAATACAGATATGGAGACTTCTAGAAATCTCACGTCACTAGCACTTTTGAGATTTTCTGATTTACAATAATGTTCTAAGCCAAGCTCGGCTATAAATCAAAGACTCCTTATTTGGCCACGTTTACTATGAGATTAAACCATGACAGTTATACAAACTGTACCATATTGTACAAGATACACACAGATTGTAACGTCATATATTATGTGCATGAGTATCTAGGTTGGAAATTTAAAGTACTACCGTGTACCTTAAAGGCCAATGTCAACTTTGCGGACGTCGATATCGACCAAGGGGTCTATATGATTACTTAGAATACATAGGTGGGTCAACGTAAATGGGTATAAAATTTATCTCATAACTCTTGGTTTCCCAGATGTCGACCAATTGGATACTGTGTGCCATGGGTCCAACAGAATAGACCTTATCATACCCGACATAAATCCACTCATGCATACTGTTTGGTAAATATGACAATGCGTACAACACTCGACAGATGCTAAAAGGGGCTCCTACTTTCTGGCCCGTAGGGGAAAAGGCTTTGCTCACCTTCGATTATTAACAACTAATTAGGACTAAGTATCTCTTAATTAGGATCCAAGGAAAACATGGATAATTTGAAGAAGGCCCTGCACAAGCATAAAAACGTTAAAAGAGTAGCGTCTATCGCGTTCGGAAGGGGGATAACTTCGGAATAGAAAGTCGCGGAACGCTGAATATCGATGATTTTGTCCTCCCGCCAATGTTTCTTCTCACACAATTTGAACAATATCAGTTATAAACTGTAGCTTCTGGAGGGTAGCGGAACGCTGAATAATGAACGGGTTTGTCCTCTCAAACCTCCAATGATTCAAACAAAATTGGAAACAAATCCTTAAAACTGTAGCCTCTTTCGAGTTCAGATGGTTTTCGGAAAAGGGAGTTTAACTTTGGGATGGGAGGTAGTGGAACGCTGAATATCGATACGACTCGTCCGTTCATGAACCAATACTTCACATGCGTGTAGCCTTTATCGTAGAACGGTTTACATCGATAGAAATGCTATTGGTATTAACCACTGGAGGAAGGTCACGTAACGCTCAATGACCACAGTGCTTCGGACCAGAATTGGGTATTAATCCGTTAAAAAAAGGTAGCCTCTATCGCGATTATGGCAATGGGTGTGAGCCCGGAGCGGAAGTTATTAGCGGAACGTTAAATATCGATAGAGCTCGTGAACCCAATCCTTAAATTTAAAGTTTACAAACTTTTCGGTGTGGGGGTAAGGGTGGGAGACATCGATAGGGATTGTCCATCATGACTCCTTCGCTCACACCAATTTATTTGTAAAAATTGCTCTCACAAGCACATTGTCAATGGAAGGACGTGTGGGCGGACGGACGAGAGAGAGAGAGAAATGGGGTTTAACGTCCACTCGACACAAACTAGGTCATTTCGGGACTAACATATGGTTTAATTTTATTTACATAATTCGCTTGCGCGTAGGGGTCTTTAGCAGTGGGAGGAAACCGGAGGACCCGGAGGAAACCCACGAGGTTGGACAGGCGACCCTACTCCTTGTCACGTACAACCGGGGATTCGAAACCACGCCAGTCGACTCAATGACAGACTTTATGATACAGCGCGTGCACGCTAACCATTCAGCCATCCAAGTCCCCGCGGACGGACGAGCGGACAGGGCTACGATGCAATACGCCCACATGAATTAGGAAATACTATGTCTAAATTAGGAGATAATAAGTCCTAATTAGAAGATAAACTAAGTCCTAATTAGAACTGCTAATTGAAATTAGCAAATGATTTATAATTTATTCGACCCTAACAATAAGTCCTAAATATTCTAGGGCTTACCATATTCTAATAAGGACTTAATTTTATTTCTTTTTATTTGGCCTTAATACACGTCTGCAATAACCGTGCGTTTTTCTAATAAATTATATGTTTTGCAAATGCATGTTTTAAACTTACTGGCTGAAACCATGCGGAATTCGCGGATTTTATGAAAATTGATTGGGGTCTATAAAGTGAAAATCATAATAGAAAAAGTGTTGACAGAGGTAAACATTGTTTTTAAAAGAAATCGGTTTTCGTTGTGAATGCATTATATCAGCTTATAATATAATCACAGTCATTTGCTTTCTTATAATCAAACTGCAATATGCCTAATTATCGATACTTTAATTGCCAAATACCTTTAAATGTAACAGGGACCGTACACAGATTTTTGTCAAAAATTTATATTTTTAGGAAAATTTGTAGTGTAATTTTATGATTTTTATGATGTTTTTATCAAATTTTATGATAATTTTATAATGTTTTGTTGTTTTGTTTTATTATCACATCTCATGACTTTTTATGTTTTTATCATTATTAAATATTATGATTTTTGTTATATATATATATATAACTGCTCTGACAGCAAATACCTTATCATCGGTCCATGAAGTAGTGTTCAGCCAGTGGTATGCCGATAAGAACGTCCCACCAGTAGCACTGGTGATATTAATGGTCGCAGTCATCTTCTCCACTGTTCATACAGGGCTCTCAGGGTAAACGTTTCAGTGACGTCCCCCCCCCTCTCCCCACGCATACTGTAACTGCTTAGTTTAGTGCCTGCGGTCAGTTGATGTTTAATGATTAAAGAAATTTTAAAATAAAATTTTTATACGCCCTCATTGAAATGTGGTCGTAACTAGAGGCCAAAGTTAATATCCGATTGACTTTAAATTTATACACAGGTGACGAAATTTTATGAAAATATAAATGTTTTTATATTGTACGGTCCCTTATGTAAGCAAGATTAATTGACTCAATTATTTTAGTCACCGCAGATGATAACTAACTTTGCCTCTGTATTGTTTTATGGGGGAATATATAGAGGATATTTGTCGTTTTAGAGTGAATAACATATTTTATTTCATCGAGAAGCAAGAAAACTTATATTTTCACGAATGCGTAGCATGAGTGAAAATATAAATGTTTTCTTGCTTAGAGATAAAATAAAATATGTTATTCACGACAAAACGACAAATGTTCTATTTATTTTATGATTTTACAATCATTTTAGGTAAAAACAACATGGACTTCTTTAGCCAGTGGAATAACACTTTTATTTCACTGATAAAACGCGGTATTCCACTACTGATCATAAAATAAATATATAATACTGTATAATTGAGAACCAAACGTTTCAACACGTTTATCACAATTTTAAAATTGGATATAGTTTTTAAAATGTTACTCTCTTTTACCGTTTAGCAGTCCCTCATATTGTGTTTATATATTGTGTTTATATACTATTCAAAAAAAGTAGGGGATATTTGATTTTTAAGTGTTATTAAAGTCACCTAATGAAACTGACGAAGAAACAAATGACAAAATGAAATGAAGTTCACATTCATCGATTTATTCCAAATGATCGTTAGACTACGTAAGGCACAGACTGACCATTATAAGGGTAAAATGATACCCGGGGTCAAACAGCAAAGTTACCACAGCATCACAACCAAGTCAGTAACGGGTAAATCCTCCTCTGTTTGCCAAACAAGCATTGATCCGACGTGGCATACTCCTAATGAGACGTCTAAGGTCATTTTGGTCCAGATTGTCCCATTCCTGTTGCAACGCAGCAGCAAGTTCTTGGACATTGGCAGGACGTTGTTGACGTTGACGTAACCTCTGTCCAAGCATGTCCCAGACATGCTCGATGGGGGAGAGGTCGGGACTCAGTGCTGGCCAAGGTAATGTGGTGATGTTCTGTTGTTGGAGGTAACCTGTAACGATCCTGGCCCTGTGACATCTTGCGTTGTCATCCTGGAAGATGAAACGGCGGCCATGACGTCGTGCGAACGGCACAACATGGACTGCCAAGATGTTGTCCCGGTAGTACTGGCCTGTAACACGCCCTGCAACAACATGTAAAGCCGTTCTTCCAGCAACAGTGATGCCTCCCCACACCATAACAGAACCATCCCCAAATCGATCATGTCTGATGACGTTAACGTCTTGGAAGCGCTCGTTTCGACGACGCCACACCCTCCTACGTCTGTCCAAAAAATCAACAGTGAACCTTGACTCATCTGAAAACATCACATTGCTTCAGCGTCGATTATCCCAGTGTTGACGATCCCTACACCAACGACGTCTTGCCTGAATGTGATGATCTCTCAAACAAGGGATCACGCGAGGACGTCGGGCGCGAAGGTGACCCCTATGCAGTCGATTCCGAATCGTCTGGCCACTCACTCTCACACCAGTGTCTGTTTGAAGACGAGCGCTGATCTGATTTGCTGTGATGACACGATTTCTCAAGGCCAAGGTACGGATAAATCGATCCTGGGCTTGAGTTTTCGCCCTTGGTCGACCTGAGCGTGGTCTGTCCTGTACAGATTGTGTATCACGGTATGTGGACCATAGCCTGCTTATGACAGACTGAGAAACATTCATCGTCCGCGCCACAACCGCCTGTGTTGTGCCGATCTGTAGCATGCCAAGGGCACGTAACCTTTCATTTTGGGTAAGCCGACGCATATCAAAATTTGTTTTCTGGTCACTAAAACAATTAAACTGATGTTTCCACCCTGGAATTCAATGCCACAATGACTGTAACATTCAAAGTCAGAGTCGTGCAAATCTTGGGTTGGACCCCCATGATGATCCCAAGCATCACCTGCATTCCATGCGGTAGCTATTGGTGCGTTTGGGCGTCACATGTAACTGGAAATTTTTCTTCTGTTAGGTTCTATAGTGACTTTTTTCGTAGTCATTTGCATATTTTAGTATTATGCCCCCAAAATCAAATATCCCCTACTTTTTTTGAATAGTATATATGAGGGGACTTCTAAACGGTAACAGAGAGTAACATTTAAAAACTGTGTCCAATATTAAAATTGTGACAATTATCCAGTATTATTAACACATTATTAACAGATTATTGGACCTATGATTCATTGGCAAAGTTAGTATTTTAGTTTTAATTTATTCCTGCTTACATCAATCTCCACCGATTTTCAAACCTGCAGCTTTACTCCAGATAACATTATATAATTTATATCTTCCAGCGCTTATGGCTTTAACATTCATATCAATTCTATAACTGCCCCTACGCGTTTCCCCTAATTTAGTTTTAGATAATTAAATATAAACAGTAAATGACGTAATGGTAATACTTTTTTACAATTGAATGATCTGTCAATAACATTCTATGACGCGGCCAGTTCATTTTGATTTTAATAAATACAATGACATTCAATGACATTAACAGTCCATTTTGATCTTAATAAACTAGAAGATTATATAAGAATATTGGTCGATAGTTAATTTATATGATATTCTAATTTCTATTGTATAAATTTACTTTCAGCTTACTTCTTTGAAGAGTGACGCAGGAGTTAATATGGATAGATTTATAGATGTGGCGATGTTTAGGGTTTGTCTACATTTGATCGTATTATATTTGGCTGATAAATGATAGAATAATCATATCTATTCTTGAACATAAACCATGTTTAGTAAACTGTATAGCCTCGAATAACTAATGTAGTAGTCTACTTTACTGCACAACAGATATTCAGAAATGTAAAGATTTTATTCTTGAAAATAATCTAATAGCATAACAACTGGCTAGAACAGTGGTTCCCAACATTTGGGGACTCATTGGGGCAATATATATATATATATATGTCGTATAGAACCTCCAAATCTGCAGTTACTCTGTTCAACCAGAGTTTCCATATTATTAGAGACTTATGGCGCGAACAACCCATTGTCACGTAACTCTTTCATAACTCCTAGCATGGATCATCTCAGTCTGTAAAACTAAGATATAAAACTAGTATGAATGAAACAATGTCATACATTCAAATTCTGTTCAGAAACGTGGTACTTAACCCATGACAAGATGATCGCCATTCCTATGTATGTGACTGGGCTATTCCTTGTAAGAATACCAACAAATTCATACTGGATTTTAAATTACCTGTGTTCCCCCCCCCCCCGTTTCCCTTAAGAAATCGTAAGGGGCCCGAGTGCCACAGGCTTAGAAACAACGGTGAATACATTTTAAATCATCAAATCCAACCTCAATAAAGCCCCACCAATACAACATACTTTTGATGGCGATATGTAGAAACTTAAATAATCAAGTTGAAGAAATCTCCCCGTCCTCAGTCTGTGATGACACAGACTTCAATCAGTCAGTCCGTAAGTGGAAAAGATAACAAACTTTAATTATTATGAAAAATTGTATGATTCTAAAAATCTTATAAGACTATCATTAAATATTTGTTCATATAAATACTCTCTGATCTGTATACACAGTTGTCACCTAGAAACTGTTGTAGGTCACAGCCTTAAATTCACCAGTTTATTAAACAGTATTTTATAATACCGTGGGTTTTTGTATCTGTAGGGTATCATGGTCCAACTTAAAAAGTTAGATTTGAAAGATGTCCCTCTAACAAAGAGACTTTTAGCAGAATTTAAAGAGGTAATTGTCGCAATCTGGTATGATCACTGACATAATCATCTACAAAATCTGTGTCGCATCCACCCTCTCCTCTTCCACCAACTAACACCCACTCACTTGCAGTCAGTTTCTATGAAACCAGTAAATATGAAGTTTTTTGTTAGTCGCAGTATAGCCAACCAAACTGTAGCTTAATTGTGAAATTGAATGTTGTATTATTCGGGTCCATTATGCGTCACAAATCACCACTGACAGTCCAATTTTTCTTAATTGTTTCGGAGCATGCCCCCACCCCCCGAGCACACACCCCTAACTCCCCTCATCAACCTTCCGTTCACGGAATATTCTGTCATAGGTTTCTAGTATCATTGGCCAATCATAAACTCAGCATGACGTTAATGGAAAGGACTTTATTTGTGAAGTCAGTCGACACGATTGTATAAGAGAATAAATTTCGATGTTCATACTTGGATTTGATTTTACGCGTATTAAGATTTAGTAGAATGAAATAGGGCTTAAAATCTTAACAACATAATACCTCGGTTATTTGGAGACTAATATATGACAATCTGATTAAATATATGGTTATCTTTTCTATGGTGTACAACCCAAGAGAGAAGAATTTGCGCTTACAACAGGATTTAATCGGAACAAATTTTCCGATCTCTACCCACTGAATAATTATATCTCATCAGGACCCATGTTATTTTTTCTCTTATCTGATATATTGTCTATTTCCAGATCCGGGATGTCAATCAGACCAACATTGCTAAAGTCTTTGGTGCATGTTTGGACCCTGGCTTTAAATGTATTGTTATAGAACATTGTTCTAAGGGAACTCTACAGGTCATATATAAACTCATTATATTGCTACCGTTCTGTCTGTGTTCTGTTGTGCAGTTATCCTGGTGTTGTCTATTAAAGATGCGTTATGTAAGATTTAGATAAAGAGTCGACCGTTCATGTTGTAATAGTTCAACAATAGATAAAGAAAATGATTATATCGAAAAATTCATTAAAATTACTTTATTCGGAGCGAGGTTTTGGCAAGGTGTGCAAAGGCTGTTAATTGTCATAATAACGGTACTTGATTTAAAGACTTGGCCTCGATTCGCCATTTTTAAATTAAGTCATTAATTGACAACCGTGTTTCAATCCGTTTAAATCTCCGCCATCCGATGTTTTAGAAAGTTGATTATAGGCTTTTCAAGTGAATAAATGAGTAAATGTTTATATAACAAATTGATACACAAGTAAAAACCTGTAATAGGAAAGGGGTTAGATAGAGTGTACCCATATTCGGCGGTACATATATTCTTTAAAATGTAACCATTAAAACCGAAATTTTATCTCATTATATTTTACTTTGTTTCCTGGTGTTTAGCAGATATCCTGCATTCTACATTCATTTTAATAGATTGGAATTTTTCTAAAAATGAAGCCATTAAAAAAAATTATTTTCAATTATAACGATATTAAGTCTACGGGAAGTTAAATGTCCCAGAATAGAAGCTGGTTAAAAATTGACTACGCGTTGCTTATTATTAAACATTGAAACGATTTTGCTATCAGTACATGTATAGAATACATGTAGAAGTCTGTTAATTAGAAACCTAATTTAAAAAAATAGCGATCTTAAGGATTTTTAATTTTAAAAATATCGTAATATTTTATACTACATGGGCTTGACATCCTGTGTGAAGAATCTTGTTGCGCTACTGGATTCCTCGTTAACCATGGAGAAACACGTTGAACAACTTTGCCGTACGTGATATTACCATCTCCGATGTATTGGCAATATTCGACACCTCTTGACAGTTGAGGTCCGTAAGCTGCTCCTCGAGGCTCGATTAGTGCAACAGTGCTTTGATTGGAATTCCCCAAAACCTGTGTGGAAAACTCAAAACACCGCCGCCAGAATAATAACAAGAACACAAAAGTACTCTCACATAACACCCATATCTTAAAATCACTACATTGGTTACCCATAGAAGCCCGGATAACTTTCAAGATTCTAACATTGGTTTATATGTCAACACGATCTTTCCCCATCTTACTTCACGGATCTCATTCAATCATATCAACTAAATCGACCACTTCGCACACAAAATAAGCCCTCATTGGTTGTGCCGCAAGCTAAACTGAAATCCTATGGGTATAAAACCATCAGTGTCTGTGGACCGGTTTGTGGAATATCTTACCATTGGAGATACAGAGTTCTCAAACATTAGCTGTGTTCAAATCCAAACTCAAAACTCATTTGTTTGTTACTTCGCGCATGCAATATGGATGAAGTGAGCGCAATCGTAAATGGACATTATTATTATAATTATCAGTGTTTGGTATATTTAAGTATTTAGATTTAGATATGTTGATTGTGACGTGTTTCTCTCTACATTAAATATATGAGGGCTATAAATGTTGAAATATGATTGGTTGTGTGAAATAAATCTAACATTTTCGAAAATGTTCATATAACACCGGATCAACCGAATGAAAAGTCGACAGCTCGACTGCAAGTCAAAATGATAGATCACTGATATCGCGGTGTGTTAATATCCTAATTTCTACTTTTGGCATGGTATGCGTGTTGGCGCCTTCTTACTGAAATGAATAAAAATACGAAAATAATATGACTTATTCGAAAGTCTACAAAACGCTATCCAACACGAGGGGCGCTATTATCGCGGTGTGTTTATTACTTAATTTCCTATTTATGAGTCGGGGGGTTGGATGGCTGAATGGTCAGTCGACTGGCGTGGTTTCGAATCCCCGGTTGTACGTGACAAGGAGTAGGGTCACCTGTCCAACCTCGTGGGTTGTCTCCGGGTCCTCCGCTTTCTCCCACTGCTAAAGACCCCTATGCGCAAGCGACTTATTAAAATAAAATTAAACCATATGATAGTCCCGAAATGACCTAGTTTGTGTCGAGTGGACGTTAAACCCCATTTCTCTCTCTCCCCTATTTACGGGTCGATTTTTTTTTTTTTTTTTTGGTGTGTGTGCAATCTCCTCACATTTTGTCAGAACTTCTACTTTTCGACTTCTCGAATGGTAATTATAGGCTTCCATAATTACTGAGTAATTACTGAGTAACCTGAGATGTAGAACTCGATAATGGATAATCACTGCTAAAGGCAAAAATTTGACGACCCCAACAATACGCGCATTCGAAATACTATTCCCGGAAGCTCGTGAAGGTATGATACCACTTTAGGATATTAATAATTACTTTACGAATAAGGAAAATCTTGTTATGGTAAAAATTGTACCTTAAGGTGATTAATGGAAGATGCGCTACGTAAGATTTAGATAAAAGGTTAGTGGGTCTTCCTATAATTAATAGCTCATAAATAGATAATGAATATTGAATATATCGAAAATATTAGTCCAATTACTCGTTTCTGGGCGAAGTTACATTCCTATCAAGTGCCATTGTTACCACAATAAACAAAGTCTTGGTTATCATTTTTAAATCCAAAATCGCGACCATCCAGAGAATTGATAATGGGCTTGGCATGTGAATAAATCTCTAATTAATTATTTATATAAGATTTGAGATCAACAAAAAGACTCGCAAGTTTAAGATAGCTAATTGAATACGACCCCTGGGTCCTAGATAGTGTTGGTCATATTTGTTTTTAAATAGATTTTCGGACTGTATTTATGAGACACTATTCCAGACTAAAAGACAAATATTTTCATTCATACGCCTTAAATTTATTCAAATCGGCCTGTCCTAACGTAAGTAGTGGTCATCTAAAGTCCTCCTTACATCATCTTTTTCTGTCTTAGTACCACATCCATATACTAAACTCGTTTGTATTAATTTACATCGAGGTACAGTCTTATTACTTAAATGTGTCAATCATACACCCGCCCTTAGATCGGGTGTTATCAGTGTGTATGCCTTTGGTGTTTTATTTTGCGGCTAAGCCGATACTTAATTCGAGAACAATTATGTTAAAAACTGTAAAATTTTCTTTATATTTTAAAGCAGAAAGCTATAGATTATTACGCATTGCATATTTTGTAATAATAAAATAAAACCAAGTACGAACAATCCAAACCATTAGACAAAATTCGAAGTCCTAAAAAAACGGTATAGGCAAAATAGTGTAATAAGGCAAAATAGTGTAATCAGCATATGGACTGTTCACCGTGTACAAAATACACGACAAACAGTGGTAACAGGTGTCCGGAAGAGTAAGCTTACCCTGCCTGGCGCCACACCCGCCATAGCTGCATCCAAACTATTAGGCGAAATCTCGGTAAAATAGCGTGATTGGCAAATGAACTATCGGTATGCAAATGCACGTGATGAACAGTGTTAACGATGTAGTAGACAGACATTATCAGGGAGATAGTATACACGTCAATTAAATATATCTAGAATAATAGCCGAGAGAGACATGTTATATTTACAAATCAAGTCAATATGACGGCCATAAAACTTTTTAAAGGTTTTAATAAGTTTAGTTCGCAAGTATCCCTGTAGTTGAAGCTTAGATGACAAATGCCTCGATCTACTTAAAAACAGAATAAAATGAACAAGCTCTCGCGTAACGAATTAGTTGAGACACAAACACTCCATAAGCTGGTGATATTGGAATGTTACTACTAATAAATGGAAAGTTAACAATCGGAAAGTCAAAGTCATCACGTTTATGGCAATTGTCAAAATCGAGACGCAAATCAAATGTAGTTTTTATTAAACATGCATTATGCAAGAGCTAAATCTGATTATTGCAAGTCTTAATTTAGGCTTCAGATGTTATAGAAATTATAAATTAGATCTTTATTTAAACAACAAGACCAAAATCTACTCTGTAGACCCACAGCTCGGATTTAAATAGGATTTCACTAATTGATTAAATCAGATAAGGGGTAACCTGATGAAAATACGTCAGTTAGATCGAGGCTAAATGATAGAGTGTATTTAGCGAGGCCGCTGTAAAGCGTTTCCGTATGCCATTGAAAACTTTACTTGATAATCGAGATATGTAGGTGGAGTTAACGCCTGTCAATCAAACGTTCGGCGAAGGTGAAGACACATTTCGCTACCATTTCTAGGCAAATATTACAACGATGATAACTATGTTCAGAATAAAGTAATTTGACTGAATTTTTCAATATATTCTTCTTTCATCATCTACTTTTGAACTGTTATAGCAAGAATGGCCAACTCTCTATAAATATCTCCCATAATGTATCTTTAAATGATAAAGAATAATTTACAAAATACAAAATAAATCACCAAACAACCAGTGTAATGATATATAATTGCCTATAGTCCAACTAAATAGGATATAGTCCTGTTTAATAATTTTATTTTCATATGGTTGCTTCTTGGCGAAAATGAAACATACACCCTTTAAGGTCACAGCCCGGTGTGATAGTTTGAGTTGACTCCTGGTGTGTGTTTTCCCCTGGGCACTTGCGCATGTCCGAAACTGAGGTTTGCCTTAACAACGAAACTATATCTACTTCCTGCGGTGTGAGTTGGTTCCTGATCACTGGTCAGTACAGGAAAAAGTATATCATGTACATGATTAGAGTTTTGTCATTAATAAAAATACTTGTTATCGTGATTAGCTGTTCTTTTAGTGATCAGTTGTTACACGATCAACGGATCTAAGTTGATTGGCTTGAAATTGATACTTCTATCGTTCGTGATTTGTTGCCGTTGTTTTTTTTTAGTGATTAGTCGTTCTACACACGTACGATCAGTGGAAAACATACAATTGATGATTGGCTTGAAATTATCAATTAATTCACCTCCAAAGGAAGATTAAGGCCTTTGATATTTCGTGGCTTCATTTATCACAAATATAAAAGTATGGAATTTCGTATTCTCTCATTTTCTATTGACTATCGCATTCGTAAAAGACAAGTAGTAGTAATAATAGTAATTGATCGATCATCACAATGGCAGATATTAATACAAGCAAAAGAGAGATTCGACTTCAGCACTTTCGTGAAAAGATAGCAAGAATAGAATTGTACTTAGCAACACAAAGCCACAAACCTGGAACTACAAAGCTTGAACAAAAAAACGTGAGAAATCATTCAAAAACACATGTGATTCAAGGTAGGTCGACTGCACATTTGGCTATTTATACTATTTACAATTAGCTATTTACAATTAGTATGCCTTCTGACCAAAGTATGTAACAATGACATGTTCTGTTGCTGATGGTTTAGTCAATGGGTTTTAATTCAGTTTGTTAACATTATTCTGCAGGTAATATGTTTTGCTTTACATGAACACTAAATATTTGAAAAACTAAATATGCAAGAGCAGAAAAATTTAATTTCAATGAAAAATCTATTCAAACCTATTGACCTATTTGTCAGAGACCTACATGATAACTACAATTACCAAAGATATTGGTTACACTGATCTATGTCTTTAAAAGTCACGCGATAGATTTTCACAGCTCTTTTGTTGCCCCTCAGCGCTCAGTCTCAGTTCTTTTTTGACATGTCCTCTAGCAATAAATCACTGTATGTTTTAATACGATGCTGCATCCGAACATCATCGGGCTTTATATATGAATAATATGACACATGTTATATCTGTGTGTTATCTTTTTTTTAAATTTTTCAGATGGTCGTGTTTACTATGTGGGTGGGAAATGTAAACAGGAAGTCGTCACTGACATTTCGCCTGGTTACGCAGTAAGTTAATATGAAAATATTTTGTTAACATGTCAACAAATTTTTTGTTTATGGCTAGAAGTCAGACATCACCCTATGTTTATAGTAATAAATTATGGTTGGTTAGAATTTAAAAAAATCCTAACTCTTGTATTGCAAGAAATCCGACATCCCTTTATCTATATTCACATCAATAAATTAAAATTCCTAATAAACCATATCTCTTGTATGACATCACTTTAAAGTTTATGTATATTCATTAAAAAATTTAAAATTTACCTTTTTTCCAGGTATTAAACCAATGAGTTTTTGGAAAGGTAACCAAAATAAAGAATTTTATGTGCCATTTAATGTAAAGAAATGTGGGTTTTCTGAAATGCTGTATAAAGAAGATTGTCCAGGATATTGGAGTGGGCGGGGTAAATATGGGGGATTATATGGGCTTTGTTAATAAAATGGGTTTCACTGGTTACTGCAGCTACCACTGTCGAAGACTGCTGGAGTCAGAATGGTATGACAAGTGGGAGTGGATATCAATGTTAATAGATGAATGTATATAATGTAAATAGTTTGTATTTTTATTTTTGGTCAATATCTTTTTTTTTCTTACATATCATTTTTTATTGTATTTGTTCTTTGCTTGTAAAAATTTGTTTATTGTGCTGATATATTACATGGTTCATTGAGGGCCTGACAAGGACAGCTGTCTAATCGTTCGGATGGGACGAAAAACCGAGGTCCCGTGTACACATTGGCGTGCACGTAAAAGATCCCTTGGCAGTTGGAATTCGATATAAGAGTAGGCCGTAGCGCCACTGTCCGGGCAAAATTTCCCTCATAGCACACTGTATGGCGTATGCCCGTCTTCATTAGCCCAGGTTAGGAGCAGAACAGTAGGACGTTAAGCCCCATTTCATTTCACTTAATTTCCAGTGGTGTAATATCTTTTTTGTTAAAAATGCATAAATCACCTTTTTGTTAAAATGTATCAATCACTTTTTTGTTGAAAATTCATAAATCACTTTTTGGTGTTTTAACTATGTTTTAATAATCAACTATTTTGCAGATTGAATATTGGCTTTTCAGATTGGGATTTCTCTGTATAGTTTTTATTTCAATTTTTTACTTCGTATTAAAATGTTTACAACTTCACAATAGCATGTGTTTTATTACTTAATACAATTTAAATCATTTCATGCAAACCATAGCTAAACACCGATTTCTTTAACAAATATAGATTTATTACACCATCCCATACATTCAAACATGCATGTAAACAGCCCAAATACAAGAGAGAATGTTCGCATTGTGGACGGGTATATATACTAAATATATAATAATAAAGATCGTCAATTTGCATCAATAGTCTAGAAATTGATTTGACCTAGGGTGGCCCACCATAAATAAATATCTCCAAATATCTCGACAATTACGCCACAATATTTATATATATGCCAAGCCTCAAATCAGTTTCACACAATTATAGTCACTAAATAAACGATCATGTTGTACTTAATAAGCTATGACCATTAATCATCTATAAATAATAGACTGAAAACTGGTTCCAAGTGTCGTCCATAACATCCAGACACTTTTGAGTAAAAGATAGGTTACGTGCCCTTGTTTTGAAATTAGTCTCGCTTAACCAGTCTATCGACCATTCTACGTCTGATTGACAGGTCGGGATAATCAAGACTACTTTTTTACGAAACATAACAGAAAGCTAGAACAAGAAATTGAATTTAGAAATAAGCACGTTAGCTAGCTCAACAATTGTTTTAAGAAGCTTGTAAAAGTAAAATGAAACTACTGCTAGTATCATGTTCCTGTCTAAACCGAGTGATTCAGAGATATTATTTGTACTTAACCAAAAGATGCCGCTCTTAACGGTACAGTTAATGATAAAGCGATTTAAAAAATAAAACGAACGTAATTTCTAAATCTGCTGTAATAACCAAGAAGCTTAATTTTACCGCTATTCAAAATCGTCAACAATAATTTTTTTTACGGCTGTAATAGTTGATAGATTTGTAGAGAATTGCAAGTGCCATGGCTATTTATAGTATCATACTGTCAGAAAGTTGGTCTCGACACAGCGAATATGCACGCTTCAGTGGTAGTCTCGAACTATCGGCGGTGGACTGTATTTCTGTAGAGTGCACGGGTCACCCTACCGTAAGGAAATCTTAGGGGAAATCCTATCACGAGGAGTCAATGCACACCGCGACTGTAACGGTGTGAGGTGACTCCTACAACTGCGCATGCGCCAAACGGTAATCACACACCAGGAACCATCTGAAACTGCCACACCGGTAAATATGGTTGTTACTGTTTATTACAAATTTAACGTCATATACGGTATACATGAGATTATAGATACGTTGATTTAATTATGTTACTTACATGGAGGAGATAGGGAGGTCACCTTCTCCCTTCATCATAATAACTGCCATTAGATATCAAGGTTTAAGGCTCATTCTCAATAATAATAAACAGACTTCACTTTACCTGAGTGACAAGATTTAACTACACAAGTCATTTCTGATTAATCAGCGGCTGATAGTCGTCCGGCATTCGCCGAACTAATTCCTCTAGGAAATGTATCTGATCGGACAATGTTCTCTCACCGTTCCTATTTGTCTCTATTAACCTGCAATATGAAAATACCGCTTTACTCCACCTCTGTTCTAAGGCTATTTTGGAATCCTTGCCGTCTATTCGCCAAAAGGAATCATTTCTCTCAACATATGACACAAATTTATTATAATACAACACTTTTTTCAAGTAGAATTTTGCGATTTAGCCACAAACCGAGACCCCCGGTCTGCACAAACGCGGGCCAATTCAAGCGTATTTTGTTTACGTTTTTAAATCACGATGAACATTAATAGACGGCAGAGATTCCAATATGTCCTTAGAACAGAGGTGGCGGTAAAGCATATTGGTCACCCCTTTTCCATACAATATTGCCAACGAAAATGTTTTCCATCCGTTTTGATTATGTAAACATTTACTCTATACAAATAAATACAATCGAACAACATCTGTAAGAAATTAAGAAATGTTATTCAACTGATCTGGGGCAAAAAGGATTTCAACCAACCACATCGGCCTCTAGTCAATGTACAAAGAACCCCCCCCCCCCCCAAAAAAAGTAGTTAGATCTTTATCATCGAAACGAAGAAAAGGAATAGACTGAATCGAGGCCAACCGCACCTGAGCTGGTACTTGGATTAATCACGCACTATATAAGCTAATAACAATTTTTTGTTTCAAACTTTATGGGCTTGTTCGAAATTGAGATTGTTGACTTACACCACAAACAACACATTATGGTTATGTTTTTAAAGGAAATTAATTTGATATAGTTCTGGGGGACGCTGAAAGTCTCTATTACTGTTAGATGCATGAAAGTAAATGAAATCAGAGTTTTACACAAAGTTTACTTGTTCATCTTGCATGACATTCGGTGGTATTGTGTTTCGGCGGGTTTTGTTTGTATTGTATTATCTTTGTTCCATTGTTGTTTTAATGGCATTATTCTGTTTTCTCGGTGCCGTAAAAACTTTGATAGTAAAATCAAAGGCTACATGTATTCGTGATTAGTCCTTTTGAAATACAACTTTTTTCATTATACCCTTTTATTCTAGGATATACTAGGAAGTTCAGAGTTAACATTAGACGCCCACTTCAAGTTCTCTCTCGCTATTGACATTGCACAGGTTAGTTAATATGATCTTTTATATAAATGTAGACCTTAATGTCATGCATGTTTAAAATAATAATAACATTAAGCACGCACGAATTCCAAACCACGCTTCCGTTATTCGCTTATATAATTAAAATTAGATGTTTTTTTTGTTTTTTGGGTTTTTTTTAAATCGGTCTGGGACGTCAACAACAGTGTAACTTTGATTATTGATTATACTTCCAATCATACTTCTTGTGACACAGCTGGATACAGACCGTTGCGGATGGTTCGATCTGAAGTGGAATTTGTTGTAGTGTGTACACATATTATCTTGATCACTCGAGCTCAAAACCAACATAATGAATACTTGTTGCAAGAAAGAAAAGAAATATACTAGTAGGCTATACTAACATAACAAAAACAAACAAAATATATGCAAATTTATGTCTTTAAATATCAAATATTCAATATGACTAATTACATAAACTTTTGGGCTCTATTGCAGTATCGCACCTCTACCAGTTCCCGGGGTCGTAGAGACTTGAAATTTTCAGGGGATGTTCTGGTGGGCTAGCAATGACCTCACACCAAATTTTACCATAGTTTAGCTTCTATAAGAGATAAGTTTATCCGATTTTGACGCCATTTTGTTTAGGCTCGAATGACGTAATATGTGGATTGTGGGTTAGGATAAGGGTTAGGGTAAGGGCTAGGACCTATAGATTTCGTCATAGTCTCAAGATGTAGACAGGACTAGCCCTAACCCTAACCCTGTCTTGTTATTCGAGTCTAAATAGCCAACAAACAAAATGGCGTCAAAATCGGATAAACTTTTCTCGTATAAGCTAAACTACAGTAAAATAAAAAAAAGTTATTGACAGATTCGGCTGAAATTTGGTGTGAGGTCATGGCTAGGCCCCATGAATACCCCCTGAAAATGTCAAGTCTCTATGATCATGGGAACTGGTAGAGGTGCGATACTGAAATAGAGCCGACTTTTGTAAACGAAAATGACTACTATTAAATATACATTATGTAAGATGTAGATAAAGAGCTGGCCGTTCTTGCTATAATTGTTCCAAAATAGATAATGCAAAATCAATATATTGAAAATTGATTTAAATTACTTTATTCTGAGACAAGTTATCACTGTTTGTGGTTTTGACAAGATGTGTTCATTGATAGTTTATATCGTAACCACGGTACTGGTATATTCGAGTCTTAGTCTCGCCTCATCCATTTTTAAATGGCTGAGCCGTTCTAATCTTCTGTCTGATTCATCGTAAATTTTAAACGGATTTCTTCGATTATGAACAAACTACTTAACGTTGGTTATTATAAACTTACCTGTGTGTTTGTAATGAACTCCCGTTCGATAAAATCCATTGCACAACTAATTATCACAACGATGAAAACAAGTTCTCTCTTGAAAAATTGAAATATCACAAACTTTTCCCAGAGAAAAATACCAATATGGAAGATGGTTACGTCACTCTGCGGAAGATATCATTTCGTATTAGGGGTGACAGCATAGGAAATTCAAGTACAATTACGACAAGAATCCATGACCACTCGGACCAAAGATCACTCGGTTCAAGACCAGTCGGACCAAGTGATAGACCACTCAGCCCAAACAAATCGACTACTCGGACCATACAAAAAGACTATTCGGACCCAACAGAAAGACGACTCGGACCAATAATAAAATGTTGTTTTAATAAATTGATAATTGCGTTTGTTTTAATATAATTACTCGAACCAATAATAAAGTGTTATTTTAATAAATTGATAATTGTGTTTATTTTAATATGACTACTCGAACCAATAATAAAGTGTTATTTGAATAAATTGATAATTGTGTGTGTTTTAATATGACTACTCCAACTAATAATAACGTGTTGTTTGAATAAATTGATAATTGTATTCCAAATCGCAAAATATCGAGAACCACACTTGTAGTCACGTTTAAAAAGGGGCATATAAACGTCCGGTCTTCGTATTATTATGTGCTGTTTATATTAACGCATCAAGGGCGGATAACTTGAAAACGTGTCTCCCCCCCCCCCCCATATATAGTAACCCAGGGGTTAGTGGGGTAGAACGGAATGAAACCACTGGGGATACCGCGAATGTGGAAAAAGTAAAATTAGGCTATCAGACAAGAACAATATTCCCGTATATGTAGAAACTGTCAAAAGTCTGGACATACCGAGTCTCATTGCAAGAGTAAAGAAAAATTAGATTGATATTTTTTTTGGCACCATTATTAATTAATTTTAAAACTAATCGTTGATTTATTTACGTACACAAAATTGAACCAAACAACTCTAAATATAAGAATTCCGTATAAGAATTATTTGCTTCTTTGTATTGTGATTTAATAATAAATAAATAGCATATTGTCTAGCCTTATAATATAATTTAATTGGTCCGACTGGTCTTGTTTTGGTCCGACTGGTCTTAGTCCGAGTAGTCTTTGGTCCGAGTGGTCTGGATACCTACGACAATTGGCATTGAGTTTGAGCGTTCGCACACATAACTACCCGCATTCCTGTATTTAGTTACCGTCTTTTACATTCTAGTAAAATCTCTGCAAATTTTATAGCTTTACTTTTTGAAATATTTTGTTCTAATTATTTGATTAGCGACTCGGATGGGATTATTTACTTTTGAACACTCATGCCGCACAAACACAACTATACATTCGTTTTACGGGCTTTATCACACTTCGGTCAAAACTGTCGAATCGAGAATTAATGTTCCGCTTCTTACGGGGTCATACGGGCTTAGTAGCATTATATACCCACCCGGGCACCCAATACGGCAATAGACACGCTGAGGGCTGCCGCAACACGCTTAAAGATGTTACTGAAGCGGTTATTATTCGATCGAAAGAATGCGTATAAAATTAAAAATACACTCAGAGAATTCGGAGGTAAGCTTCATGATCCTTGTTAAATTATTTATAACATAAAGAAGATAGGATATTTATAGTTTATTCATGACTTTATTTTTACGAGTATCCGTGCAATCAGTGATATTTTAATTGTGAAGAAAATTTGATAGACTGGCGATCAATGGTTTCCATATAAATCTCCTATGTAATTGCCTTCAATTGATATTTTTCGTCGCCCAAACCCATATACGATCAAAATGATCGCGCTGTCAAACTATCTTTCAATGTTAACCAACCCCCGCAACAGGTATATTGGATTCGACCAATACGTCACGAAGACATTGTTGACATCGACTCTGTCGAAATTACAAGTAAATTTTCAAATTTTTCAAGAGAGAAATTGTTCTCATCGTTGTGATAATTAGTTGTGCAATGGATTTTATCGAACGGGAGTTCATTACAAACACACAGGTGAGTTTATAATAACCAAAGTTAAGTAGTTTGTTCATAATCGAAGAAATCCGTTTAAAATTTACGATGAATCAGACAGTAGTTTAAGTCACGAGCACCCGATGGTATCGAGCGTTTATTATGGTCTTGTCTTGTCTAATTAACAGTTTATATAACATGTAAAGCGTATGTATCTTTAAAATGTTGAAAAGAATATACTAGCCGGATTACTGACCAATGGATTTTTAAAAGTACCGACTTCCAGTAACATAATCAGTAAATTTGCGATGTAAAACAACAAACATCCAAAAGCTACGACATGTGTCGGACATTGTGGACCTATGCTAATAATGATATCCATTCATAGGCCAAAATGGTAAATAAGTTTGCATCACGGGCTATATTTTATACAATGACCATGGAATCGAACTGGACCAGTTACAGCCCTTGCTTGGCAAACAATTGTGTAGAATGTTTTCCTCGAATGAACCGTGGAATAAACAGTCGAAAAATAAAACGGCAAGGAATGTTGGTATAATTTTAATTTCACTAGACTGTGAAACCCCTCAAAAGCCCTCAACAAATAGAATTTTTGTCGGTTCGTTTTCAAGTTGAAATCGACTTTGGCATTTACATCTTAAGAGTCGTGAGTTTTTCAGGACTCAGAAATTTTTATTTAAAAAACACTTCAGAGCAACCAATCAAATCGCAGAAGTTTGGAGAAATGTTAAAACTTCAACATATTATACAAATAGTGGTTTTGCATATCTTTGATTTTGTATTATTTTAGGGTATGGCATATATTCATCAAAGTACCATCCATCACCATGGTAAATTATCTAGTGTCGTCTGTTTAATAGATAATAGGTTTTGTGTTAAAATAACGGATGTTGGGTTAAGGTATTTGCATGAAAATCTCAATGAAGACATCTCAACACAAGAATATTTAAATGGTGAGTAATTTTGTGCAATCTAATTAAAACACAGATACTATTTTGTTTCGTTGACCCCTGATGCAACCTCTTACTACAACCGGTCAGATGGAGGTCATCGAAAGTACTGAAAAACGAAACGAAATATGGATCTGTATCTTAAGCAGACTTAATTTTATGGTAGTTTAACGAAAACATTTCTCGGATAGGAAATGTAATATCTCTTCCATTTGAAGTTTTTTGACAGATGTAATTCTTTAACATTAATGTAGTCTAGAGACGGATTTTATAATAGAATTTCTGTTTTAAGCATTGCGGGAACCGCGTTAGCTCGGTGAGTGGAGATGGCATACTAACCAGGATGTCCGATTTTTGATCAAGGTAACCGACAATTTTACAGCGTGGTTTTCCCGTGTCTGTTGTGGCGGACAGAGAGTCTGGCAAGGAACAACGTTTAGTCGATCGGATGGGACGAACATTTCGAGGTTCAGTGTATAAATCGGCGTGCACGTAAAAGGACCATTGCCAAGTGGAATTCAATTGTTGTCCGATCTGTATGGCGTATGTCCGTCTTCATTAAACCACATGTCTTCATTCATTTAAGGATTGATATATATTGAGAAATAAAAGCTTGGTTGAATATCTAATATTTGAAATGGGACTTTCACAGGAATCAAATTCAATTTAAAAATAATTGTTGTTCTTGTAGAATGTTTATGGAAAGCTCCCGAAAACTTACGAAATGAAATTTTGGGTGGTTCTAAAGAAGGAGATAGATATAGTTTTAGTATTATATTACAAGAGATCTTAACAAGAGAATCGCCATTTTATATGGAAACTGAAGAACTTGGTTTGACAGGTAATATTAATAAGCAGTATATTTAACTGCTACTTAGTGTCTGAAAGATGCATTATGCAAGAGCTAAATCTGCCTATGGGTGCCCCCCGTGCACCGAAAATTTTCCCTAAAGAATGTTGAACTCGACACGGCGAATGTGCACGCTTCAGTGGCTTGACTCGAAGTGATTTCTATCTAATCACGCAGAAATAACACTCAGCAGAAGAGTCTATGAGCCTATAAATAGCTTTCGCACGTGAAATTTTCCACAAATCTATCAACTAGTACAGCCGTAATATTTACCTTATTACAGCAGCTTTAGAAATTACGTTCGTTTTATTTTTTAAATTGCTTTATCATTAACCATACCGTTGGGAACGGCATCTTTTGGTTTAGTACAAATAATATCTCTGAAACACTCGGGTTAGGCAAGAACATGATACTAGCAGTAGTTTTATTTTACTTTTACAAGGTTGTTAAAACAATTGTTGAGTAGCCTAACGTCCGTGTTTCTAAATTCAATTTCTTGTTCCAACTTTCTGTTATGTTTCGTAAAAAAGTAGTCTTGATTATACCGGCTTGTCAATCAGACGTAGAATGGTCGCGATCGGTAGACTGGTTAAGCAAGACTAATTTCAAAACAAGGGCACGTAACCTATTTTTTACTCAAAAGTGCCCGGATGTTATAGCCGCCACTCGTAACCATTTTCACTCTATTATTTATGGATGGTTAAATCGTTATAGCTTATTAAGTACATCATGACCGTTTATTTAGTGACTATAAATGTGCATTCCAAGTTTCATCAATATTGGATCAAAATTGTGAGCTCTAGAGGATCCACAACCTTGATATACCAGATGTTTACACTATTTGCATACGGTGGGGGGGGGGGGCTTTTTTATGGCAGTTTTGGTCCTATTTTCATGAAATTCGAACTCAATCAACAATACGGTGTAACGGTGATATATTCGAATGGTTTTTATAAAGAGATAATAATTGTGACCTCTAGAGGGACCACAAGCTAAAAACGCGATTTTTCGTACAATAAGGGGCCATAATTCAGGAAGTTACTATCCGATATGCACAAATATCAAAAGGAACCAAGATCTGTGGGTTATACACATGCATTCCAAGTTTCATCAAAATCGGGTGAAAATTGTGACCTCTAGAGAGTCCACAACATTGATATACCATATTTTTACACTATTAGCGTACGAGGGGCGGCCATTTTGTCCGTCAGTTTTTGTCCAAATTTTATGAAATTTGAAATCAACCATCATTACGGTGTAACGGTGATATATTCACACGATTTGTTAAATCGGATAATAATTTGTGTACAAGGAGCGGCCATTCTGTCGGGCAGTTTCGGTTCGATTTTCACGAAATTCGAACTCAATCTTCATTGATGTGTAACGGTGATATATTTAAACGTTTTTTAAAGTCGGATAAAAATTGTGACTTCTAGAGGGACCACAAGCTAAAAACGCGATTTTTCGTGCAGTCAAGGGCCATATTCGTGAAGTTACGGTCCGATATGTGCAAATATCGAAAGGAACCAAGATCTTTGGGTAATAAACATGTATTTCAAGTTTAATCAAAATCGGATCAAAAATTGTGAGCTCTAGAGGGTCCATGAAGTTACGGTCCGATACATGCCAATATCGAGAGGAACCGAGATCTTAGGGAGATAAATCTATATTTCAAATTGTAACCTGTAGGGTGTCCACAAACAATTGTGGACGGACGGACGGACGGACAGGGTCGACGACAATATACGTCCACACGAAAATGTGGGTGTATAAAAACTAGCTTTTAATGGGTTTTTTCAGAGTAGATCCTGATGTTTCTAGTTGTGCAATCTCAATAAAAACAACGTAAATTCAAGACCAAAAAGAGCCCCAAACTAAAACAGCCCCTCCAATCCCGACGAGCCTACTTGTGAGAGCTTTAACTTTTTAGTACGATTCATTGGGGTCACGAGGGGACGAAACCTAGGTTATCTTCTATTTCTGTTGTCTTCATTTATATTTCAGCTTTTATTCTGCAACTTAACGAAGTCTTTCTTATGGGAAGGCCTTAGGTGTACTTAGAGTTTTTGTACGGATTCAATTACTAATAGTTTACGTTTTACGAAGTAGATGGTTTTATAATACGCACGAGTTTATTTTTCGATCTAGATTTATGAAGAGATTTCTCTAATTATATTGAACTCTCATATATTCATTAAATATTATAAAACCATCTACTTCGTAATTAAAATGTCTATTACTCACAAAGTTTTCTACTCAAGGGCATTCATTATAATTTATATTTATTAAACCACTTGTTCATATAGAAATAGATTTCACTAGAAATAAACACACTTATAATATATGGATATACAACTTCTGTAAGTGTTTATATAATCCACTTGTTATTTACTTTAATGGCAGTCATTCATATAAAAAGCATTGCAAGATATGTCAGCTATGTATAATGCATTCAATCTGTCATAGAGTCATGCGGGATGGCCGACTAGTTAGCGCGTGCGTGTTGTATCATAAGGTCTTTCACTGAGTCAAATGGCATTATTTCAATTCCCTGCTTTTAATGTATGTTACAAGGAGTAGAGTCGCCTGGCCAACCTCGCGGGTTTTCACCGAGTCTTCTGGTTTCCCCCCACTGCTAAATACCCATATTCGCAAGCGAACTATTGAAATAAAATTCAACCATATGCTAGTCCCGAGATGACCTAGTTTGTGTTGAGTGGGCGTATGCCGCAGTTTGATTAGCATTTGAAATCTAAATGAAATTTGAGCATAGCTTTTGATGCCGTCATTGTTAGATGACGAGTAGATAATACTGCTCGGTGGTCAAGGGAATAATTCAATTCATAAACGAGACTGGATTTCGTTGCGAAATTTTGCAGTCGCTATTTATACCTTCACTTTTCAATGTTTTGCGCCTCCTCCATTGAATCACCATATAAATAGTAGGCCAATCTAATTTGATAAAGTGTTTTATATGCCATTACTAACCTGTCTAACCTCGTGTTTTTTCCGTGACTTCCAGTTTCATGAAACAGATAAAGAACCCTACGCACAAACGAATTATTGAATATAATATTATACCAAATGTTAGTTCTGAAATGGCTTTAACCACCACTATCCTAAAATCAGTAGTGAAATATTCCCAGGTAACCAAATTTGCCATTTATTAGGACACTTACAGTCAAATCTTTAGCTTTTGTATCCATTATGGAATCATTTTGTGTATGCATATGACTTTATCAAATTAACGTCTGTTAAATTAAATGACAAACATTCGTTTTTATAGAAGTGTTACAGAAAATTAAAATGCCCAGTGATATACCATTCCGACCAAGCGTTGATATCCCACCAAAACTAACAGACATGTACAAGCTAATGAAACAGTGTTGGTCAGAAATTCCAAATCAGCGGCCAACATTTCCAACTATTGTAAATGAGCTCAAATCTATGGCAGGGTGAGTACATACAATCCAAATCCCATATCTCGAAGGGACTCGTATATAATTGACTCGAAATAGATGAGGTTCGAGTTATCCGTATCTGTCTGAGTTTGGGCGGCTAGAATTAACCACCTAACTATTTAAAAACCCGACTTGGCATGAAACAGCTCTTTCATAGTTTTATAATATAGCAGTTATAGATTATCATAAAAATAAAAATAACAATTTACACACAAACAACAATATATTTAGATTGATATTGAATTCGGTTTTTTTATTACAATGGCTATATATATAAAACAAGTAGGTGTAATTTAAGGGCTAATCCCGATAAATTTTTGGAAAATAAATCTGATTAATTTTGTGTTAATATCCCTTAAAATCCTCTACGTAAGGGTCGAGCAACTAACTCAATATTTGAGATACGTTTTCAAACAACTTAAACTCGCCAGTCTTCATCTGGAAATGGAGACCTGTGTCCCAAGCTGTATTATGCGGTGTCTGGATAAAACCAGATATTTTTTTTATAGAACTAATGTGAAGTAGGTTTAATTTACCTTTCGTTATCAAGTATAGCGCGTGGGTCATTCATTGTATAGACCTCTAAAGGAACGGAAATCGATTATCATGTCACCCAACGAGAAAAATGATCCGAAATCTAAAAAGGGTTACGTGTGCGGATAAGCAGTTTTGACGTTTACGTCCAAACGAATCTATATTTTGGCGCTTAAATTTCATACGTACTCGGACTTTTATTTTTTGAGACTCTGTTTAAATCGGGAGTCTCAATAATGTATTAGGAAAGGGGGGGAGGGGGTAAAGAAATTCTTTAGAGTGACAAAATCCAAACAGAATACACTTTATCGGTCAGTATACCCATACAAAAGTCCAGTTTAAAACCGTTGCCATAATTCATTGTCTATGAAGGTTTAGTAAATGGAAGAACTAGAGCAATATTGTCCAATAGTTCAAGTATTGATAAAGCCAAGACAATTTAATTATAATGAAAATAATCCCCAATTACCATCCTGAAACGTCCTCTTAATAGAAGTTGCAAAATGATTGTAGTGTGTAATGTAATATTTCATGTAATTTTTTTTAGAAAATTTGGTGATTCTGGTAACTTGTTAGACAATCTTCTTAGGCGTATGGAACTTTATGCCAATAACCTAGAAAAATTGGTTGACGAAAAAACACAGGAATTGAAAGAAGAGAAAAAGAGGTCTGAAGAATTATTGTACCAGATTCTACCCAGGTAAACAAGTTTCAATGCGGGGTTTTATAATTACAGCTCTAAACGTCAATCTATAGTAAACTCAACCCCGAGTATCATTTCCACATCAATCTATGTTATTTTTTGTTGGGTTTTTTTTGGTAAAAACAAATAATCCAAATAGGAACAGAAAATGTGAAAAAGCATGGGCCATATATGACAAACATACAGAACTGACTGCAGATGCTAGGTATTTACATCATGTAGCTTTGTTGCTTCAGCAAAATCATCATTCCTTTTTTTAATTTCAAGTATATCATATGTTTAATTATCCCATGCAAGCACAATAACTAAACATTGGGTAATACAATGTTCGTTTATCTTTTCAATTTTTTGGGGGGTTTAATTTGCCGTGTGATGAAATAAGAATATATAGAACCGTGTCTAGCATAAAGTGTATTTAATAGAATAAATTATAACTGTATTTGTCTAGATCCGTAGCAGAAAGATTAAAACGTGGATTAAGAATAGAACCAGAAGCCTATGATTGTGTTACGATCTATTTTAGCGATATATGTGGGTTTACAACGATTTCAGCACGGTCTCAGCCCATGGAGGTGAGTAAAATGAATGAAATAGGGTTTAACGTCCTACAGTTCTGCACCGACTGGGCTAATGAAGAGGGAAACTTTGCCCAAACAGCGGCACTGCGGCCATTATGTACACAGAACTTTGGTTTTTGTCCCATCCGATTACTATACGTTGACCCTTGCCAGCCCCTCTGCCCTGCACAGCTGACAAGGGGTACTATGTTGAATTTTCTCGGTCAACACAGTTATCGAACATCTTACTCTCTGGGCCACTGTGACTCCCGGGGGGTAAATGATTGCAACAACAAAACGACATTTCGACGATTTTTTGAAAGAGTTATGGTCCTTGTTTGAAATATTATATGAAAGGTAATGCAAAAGACTTTGATGAAATTGGAGGAATGTTCAGTTACGTATTATAAACGTTTTCTGTAACTTTTCTGATAACATCTTGTGGACAACCATGACAGTAGTGCTTCTACTATATTAGTCCGCAAGGCTATACTGTTCTTTGATCATTCGAGATTTGTTGATAATATCAATTTCAACGAGACAGCAACGTCCATGCATACTGACGAATTACCTTTTCATACTGCCATTTACGGTCCATTCAATCCAATCGTCAGTTATCAACGATTGGAACTCTACATACAAAATGTGGATTGTGAAACGCCCTTGCTATCAGTCCTTCTATACTGGTTTCTTATTGCGGTTAGAGAGTCAAAAATTGAAAATCAAGCGTAGTATTAGACGTTTCTTTTATTGTTTTAGGTTGTAGATCTTTTAAATGACCTTTACTCTTGTTTTGATTCTATTTTGGGAGAATTTGATGTATATAAAGTAAGTAGCATTATTCTATTTAGGCGAATGTTCCATTCCTACCAAGCCAATTAGGACTGGGGGAAATCAAACTCTATAGTAGGTCTTTTCAAATTTTGGCTTGTGTTGGTGTAATAGAGGCGTTGCGCTCTTGTTCTCAGAATACTTATACACCGTTCAGACGCTTATTTTTAAACCAGTTCAAAATCTCCGGCGTTTTTTAAGACAGGATCGTGGGCGTTCACGTATAAGCCAACCCAGTTTAACTATTCTAACCTCTTCGGTGGGAGGTTAGAGTTAACTACACATGGGCAGCTTCAAATTCTTTATTCGGTTCTTGCACGCATCTGCGGACTTTTTGTACCCATTTCCCTGATAGATAATAGAAAGATGTTTAAGTTTGTCGAATCAAAATCAAACATTTACCGATTCCGGAAAGGAAATTTATGCGTGTACACATGGCATTACTTTGAAATAGATATAAATATAATTTTGGTAGAATAATGACTGGCTCGCCTGAACTGATCAGGTCAGAAAGAAAGTCCAATTCGCGATTTTAAAAAAAATGTCAGCAGAACAAAATAAATAACTAAACTCATGTCTATTGGCAATAGACGGTCACACCTGTATGTTTCTGGAGGGCGTCCTCTCCCCCACAGAAATAAGAAAAAGTGTTTCCTCATCGCCCCAATTCACCCCTCGATTATTGTTAATATTATTACCGCTTTCCATAATATTGGCACTGCATGACGCCGTCGTTTTCCCAATGTAACTTACTGCTTACTGCGCATGTCTAAAGCTAGCTTGAGCTGGGGTGTTTTTTTTAAGTCAACCCGTACAGGCGGCCAAGATGAACCAGATTAAAATAAAAAGCCTTCTCAAAGACTGGTCGCGAACTATGGTTTTTAAAGTGGAATATTTACCCCCACTCATTTGTAAACCAGTTCAACTTAAGCGTCTGAACGGGCTAAATCAATCCCATCATCTAAACCATAATGTAATTTAGACCCAGTTGGTTTAAGTCATTGCTATAAGACATTACATACGGACCACTTTGGCCACATTAATCTTTTTCATAAAAATGGATATTATACCATAGTGAAAATATACGTGCTATTTCAAATGTCTTCACATATTCATTTAAAATCACTCTTACACTGATCTATATAGTGTTTGAGTTTCAAGTCTACTTTTAGTGCAGTTAAAAAGTATAGGAACATAACAAAGGTAAACGGGTGTATTAAAAAACTGGATTCGGCTTGTTTGGCTGAAGATTACCATATTAAATGGATTGTAAAGGAACCACGGTAGAAAAAACCCTTTTAATTGGAATGCCTTGAAATCTTTTCCACCATTTCTAGTACAAATGTTAACATAAATTTCACTTTTTGTACCGTATTGTGATTATACTGTTCAGGTTGAAACGATTGGTGATGCTTACATGGTTGCTTCCGGTCTACCGCAAAGAAACGGTAACAGACATGCCCAAGAAATAGCCCGTACGTCTCTTGCTTTATTGAAAGCTATTGACACTTTTCAAATCCGGCATTTACCAGATGAGAAACTTCGATTAAGAATTGGATTACATTCTGGTAAATTATAATTTAATACAAATAATTATATTATGGTTTCTATTCTATTAATAGTTTTAGCTTTGCAGCTATTCGCAATCTGAAGCGCGACTCCTTAAAACCACCTGGTTCCTTATCACTTTTTAGTTTTTGCAGTCATACTTTAAAAGCCTAAAATGTAAATGTAGTGAAATTTATATACCTGTACCATTAAAGTCCCACACACTATTCCTCGGTAACGCTATGGTAATTCCGAAAATTAATAAATTCTGTGCAGACAAAAATAATAATTTGTGGTCATAATAAGGCTTTCATTCATAATACATCTATTTGATGAATATGCATATTAATTTAGAAATTCCATCAGTTTAAGCTCCAATACTTACACCACTCTTGAATAATGCCCTTTTTTATCCCTCGGATAACGTGCACTTCCTTTAAATCAATCTGGTTAAAATACAAATCATATTTCGTTTCGGTTTTTTTTTTTATATTTTCGATAGCCTCTACTACATGAAGATCTGACCAGTTGTAGTAGGAGGTCGCGTCAGGGGTCATTCAAGCGGCTTTTAGCCCTAAGCCGTCAGACATTTGATTAACAAATCAGCGTTCATACCCACATTCTTGTAGGATACCCACAGTTCCGTGCAACAGACCGTTTCATTGGCTAATCCCTAACATCAACTAGAACGCCAGTTATATAACAACTCTTCCGCGTCGTAGTGTAGTAAAGACAAGTAAAACGAAATTTTGAACTATAAAAAACGAAACAAAATAGGACCCGTGTTTTAATCAGACTGCTTTTAAATAAACGTCATTTTGGTAGCAAGTCAATTCAAGAATTAGAGGTTTGTAAGATTCAATAAGCTAGTAAATAAGTTGATATATTGGACAAGGTTGGTGTTTATAAATTACTAAGACTGTTGTTACTTTAAGGACCTGTATGTGCCGGTGTTGTAGGGGTTAAGATGCCTAGATATTGTTTATTTGGTGATACTGTAAATACAGCTTCTAGAATGGAATCTCATGGTGAAGGTAGGTATGGGGAAGCCAAGAAATCAATTCAAAATTTTAGATAACCCACGGCTTTTGGTCTAAATGGTTGGATTTTTTTTTTCTTTTAAGCTGGAAATTAGAACACAAAACGTGGGTTATTTACAAAATAACACAAATGCGTGTGTTATTGAAAAAGAATGTATTTCAATTAAAATTTAAAACTGGTCTGCTGACAATTTTTGAAAAAATATTAAATCGGTTATCAAGTTCAGATAAAAAATTTTTAATAAATATTAAAATATAATTGGATAATATACATTAGCTCTTAATTGTGTTGTCTAAACGACAAGCATTTTATAGCCCTTGTAACGTTGCCTGTTTCATATGCCCAACAAAGATTCATCCGTTTATTCAGTGTTTTCTTGCTTAAATTTAAATTTAAATTTACTTCAGGTTTGAAAATCCATATGAGTGATAGCACCAAAACCATTCTTGACGAACATGGATTGTTCCATATAATAGAAAGGGGAGAAATTGAAGTAAAAGTAAGCGCCCATATTAACCATATAAACATTTTTATACATCAATAAGTGCAGTAAAGCAAATACAACAAAATAAAATGGGGTTTAACTATGGAAGACCAAACAACTCTTTATTCAGTTTTCTTTGTCCTTATTTCTTAATTCATAGTCCTTAATTCTTATTTCTTCAAATTTGTTGTCGTATTTCGACATTTGTACACTAAAATTAACATTTGTATCTTAAAATCCATATTTGTTTTCCAAATCAGACATAAGAGACTTTTGGCAAACGTAAATTATTGGTCCGTATTGCGTATCCGTAACGATTTTGCGTGTGACGTCATCAATGCGTGTGTATTTATCATACGTGATACGACACACGGATACGGCAGCACGTATCGAACAGCTGTCATACGGAAAAGGTCCGTATAACATCGTCGTCTTTTTACCGTATGTTTTGCTACTTTTAGACGCTGAAATGTTGCGCCGTAGCGTTTCTAGGAATGTGTATCCTAGAACACGAAGGTGTATATTTGACGTGATTTTAACCATGGCAAACACTGGAATTTAATTATTACTTTTGATGAGCTTTTCGCAAAATAACTTATGTCTTTATATTAAAATAAAATTAGATTAAACAAAAATACATTTTACAAAAATATTGATTTTACGATACAAATGTTAATTATGGTGTACAAATGTCGAAATACGGCAACAAATGAAGAAATACAGATTTAAGGACTATGAATTAAGAACTAAGAATTACGAACACTGAATAAAGAGCTGTTTGGTCTTCCATATTTAACACCCCACTGTTCTGCGCCGACTTGGGTAATGTATACGGTCATACACCATGTAGTGTGCTATATGTGAAATTTTGCCCCGACAGTGGCGCTACGACCAACTCTTATTTCGAATTACAACTGTCAAAGGTTATTTACGCGCACGCCAATGTGTACACGGGGAAATCGGTGTTTCGTTCCATCCAAGCGACTAAACGTTGAACCTTGCAAGGCCCCTTGCCCTACACCACTGACAATGATAGAACCCCAGTTAGCGAGCTAACCTCTCCCTCACTGGGCCACATTGTAATGTAATCGAATACAACAAATCTATAAATAAATGAAATACGGCTCAGATTACCATAAAATCGGGTTGAGGTGACATTTTGGGTTTTGAATTATTTACAGGAAGATGGCATCGGGAAACATTGTTTTCGATACATGAGGACAGCATTAGTCTATCGCCAGTTCAATTGGGTTTATTAACTTTCGGTTTTTACGTTTTATGTAAAGACTAATTTATGAATTGTACAGCTCATTGTCGCTGTTTATTATTCAGACATTAAAGGCAATGGCTACATTTGTTACCAAATCGGAGCATTAAGGACCCTATTAAAATAATTCAAATTGCAGTAAGACGTCACGATCCTTATTGAAATTTAATTCGATTGGAGGGGTCGATAAAAAATTGTTAATCTTTCTACATTTTAAGATCAAAGGAATATGAGTAAAACGTTGTGAATGATAGAGTAAGATAGATTTGGTCCACCTGGATACCAAATGATACATTTAAAACTATTTATGTAATCTTGACATTAGATTGGCTAATGCAGTACCAAATATGGTAAAACCAACCCACATTAATGTTATATACTTCTTATTATTTTAACATCCAATATCAAATTTTTGAGAATTTTCTTTTCTTACAGGGAAAGGGTTTTATGAAAACGTTTTGGTTGTTGAATGAAGAAGTGAACAAAAACAGGTCTTCGAATTTTTTACGATAATAGAGAATCCCTGATGGTAGAACGAGGAAGTGGTCGGTGATACGGCGAAGGTCCATAATAATAACAAACCCACGATGGCTAAATAAATATTTGAGGATTGCATTATTGAAGGAAAAGTGTAAAATTATCGTTTTCTTACTCGTTTAGGATAATTTCAAAGTAACCTGTTTAAGCGACAGTTAGTAACTGACTCCAATAAGTGTGTGTATTATATGACGTACATGTGTCATTTGATACAATTATGACCGACATAAGTCATATATGAGTTCTATATATTAAAACCCAATGTTACATTTCTCATTTTTGTAAACATATCTTTGACAACATTAATGTATTTTAAATCTGTTTTAATTTACCTAATTATTTCTCCTGTAAGATACGCGTTGAATTAAACAGACTCTGGCATGAGGAAAACTCTTTACAATCCCTGACCCCTAGGCTATAGAATCTTATTAAACCAGCCACTGGCTATTACGTCAGAGAGAGAGAGAGAAATGTGGTTTAACGTCCACTCGACACAAACTAGGTCATTTCGGGACTAACATATGGTTTAATTTTATTTCAATAATTCGCTTGCGCGTAGGGGTCTTTAGCAGTAGGAGGAAAGCGGAGGACCCGGAGAAAACCCACGAGGTTGGACAGGCGACCCTTCTCCTTGTCACGTACAACTGGGGATTCGAAACCACGCCAGTTGACTCAATGACAGGCTTTATGATACAGCGCGCACGCTATTACGTCAGATATAATTTAGACGAAGCCTCGAAGTCTAACAATGGAGGGATTAAGTATTGGTCATTGACCAAACTCTCTATAAAACAAACTATTGTTTTAGATTTCAATTTAGGAGCAATGTTTTACACTTTAATTGTCAATGTGTCATAATTATTGTCTATGATATATTTTGTAGAACTGTATGTCAAAGATAAAGTGAGCTATAAATTAAAACGGATCGGATCTCTCTCTTTCTTTTAAATATTTGTTGAGTTATCTATGTTTAATAAATCACATAGAAGTTACCTGGACTCTTAATTTAATAAGACCAGAAATAACATGGTCACAAAATCGTGGTTTTCTCGATAATTTGTTCAAGCAGCATTTAGCAACTGGCTCAAACCATGTCCATTGTATGAAGTAATTGTGGCATTTGATACAATCGTCGTTGTTTTCCGGATAATTTCAAGCGGCATGTAGTATCCAACTCATGTATATATGTTTATTGTATGGTGTAAATGTGGTATCTGATAAAAAATTTCGTCGTTTTCCGGATGTTTTGTAGATCATGGCCGGCAGAAGAAAGCGGGCTGACTGGGCGGCAACAAGATCACAAAAACAGTTGTCTTAGTTTTCTTAAGATGTTACAAAATTGTACGAATTGGGGATTGTAAACATACCGGTACATGAGGCTATGTTAAAGTCTCATCTAACTCCGTCCCCAAACACATAATATCGTTTATAAATTTCATAAACGTAATATTTGTAAATGTTAATAAATCAACAAAATCCATCCTGTCTAAATGTTGATAGTAAATCAATATTTATGAATGAAGACAGCATTATATGAATTGGCTATGAAATAAAAGGAAACGCATAAACATATATTTTAATTACCGGTTAACATGTTAATATAATTCAACATATTGATATATTTATTTATGTGTATGCTAAATATATATTTACATTAAATCAGTGTCGAATAGACTACCCAGTATTATTTCGTATCAATTAGTTATACAAACCTGAATACAGTTCAGGTTTTATTAATGTAAACTGAACTGGTACGTATTGTTATCATCTGAACTGGTGCTTTTTTTTATTTCTTTTAATTTCGGGTTTTACTTAAAGAATGATTGAATGAAACAGATTCCGGTAGCCCATTTTCGGTGAGAGCTGAGGGCGGGAAATGAGTGACTCATTCTAAGAGAGCAGAATTTTGCAAGGGCTATCGCATTTCGCGTTCAAACGGTTTACGACAAAGGGTGGTAATTCCAAAACGGATCGGCTCGTCATCTCGCATACTCCTTCCAGTGTTTCGTTTGATTAGAGCTAATCCCACTACTCACTGCTGTAAAGAAAGCAAATTTTTGTTCTAAATTATGACTGGTCAATAGTCCGATTAACAACCATAGCTAACTGCGTAACAATACCAAACAGAGCTCCAAATTGGAACTTAATGTGTTCACATAACGTTACGTCATGACTCACGATTTTATTATTCCCAATTAACCAGTGCATAGCAGAATATTGCAGAAAAACTAATTGTGTGACAAAAGAGGCTATCAACACAGATATAATGTAAACAATATTGTTTTGAGACGAACAACACTTTCACCGGTTTCAATACCTTAAATCACTGTCCTAAATTTTAGGGAAGGCCCCCGATTAAAAGAAGGGCTGTCATGTTGCTGTGCTTGGGGATAGATTTGATTGAACGGGAAGAATAGACACACTCCCTCAAAAGCGCAAGTATCAGAAGCTAATCCAGCAATGGCCAGAGAGGGATTTCTCCATTGCTTCAGGAATATGGTCATCTCGTGACCACAATGCTTCACACCGCATTTGAAAATAAATCCGTTAAAACTGTAGCACCTATCGCGTTCAAGAGTTAATTGTTGACGGATTGGCCGAAGTGTGGCGACATTATACGTCCGCGTCTGCGTGTCTAAAACCCTCGAACAGCTTAATTATTGTAACTGCTAACTGCGTGTAGTCAAAATCACATCAAAAATTGCTATATTACCGACCGGTGTAGAATTCCAAAGCATCGACTTTGTTAGCCTCTTTTCTGCAGCCTTATTTACGGTAATCGGTACAAACCATTTAGTTACAGTGTGCAAATAAATAAACGTACAAGAGAGTTGTCAAAGTGCATAATATAGAAAATGGCTATAAATAACATTTTCCTGAAGTAATGGCCCGAGAAATCCCCCTCTGACCATTGCAGCACTTGGAACGAAAAGTTGTGGGGTTTTTTACACTGTCTCTAATATATTATCTTTCTATCACATTTCTGCTGAGTACATTGTTAGAAGTCGTAGTTCTATCCAGTTTGGTGAAATATCATTCTAATTACAAGCATGAAATACTGTTATTGCACGTAATAAATAATAAAGTACTTTCGCAGCAACCACGTGGCTTGAATCGATGACAGACAGACATCTAGACCACTCGGCCACCAAACCCCTCTACTTCCTACTTTCTGCCAAAGCGGTGGCACTCGGCCCTATTAAATGTTGAAAGCGAATAGACATGTTTTGCTCCGTTCCAAAACCTAGACGCTCAAACATCGCAAGTTTGGGATTTTTTTCTTTTAAAAAGAAACACAACAAAAGCGCTTTTTGCGTCCTTAACGGTAATTCGTGTAAACAGCTGAAGGTCAATATAAAGTTATTAAATACGGGATTGTTTTGAGTTCCAAACTATACGATATTGAACTGTTGGTATATCTGATTTTTACTTATCAGTTTACCATATAACCAGCTGTCACTGTCACGTGATATATCTTATAAGCCATATTCCAGGTCATATTATTAATCATACTGATAATCATATAATAAATAGGAATTCAGCTGTCAAATTGATACGTATCAAGTATATGTATTCGACTGATAGTTAGAACGAAAATTGAAAAATTGATTCGTAATGTTGGATTTTGGAAATAGCGGATGGTAATATTATTAAATCTGGATTGCTGTTATTAACATATTTAAATAAGTTTGTCAGAGGTGGGTAAATTATATATTATGTTATTGATTTGAGCGTTTTTAATTATATATTATATGCACGTGCAGGAACGCAATTTATGTTTTTGGGATTGGTCTACATGCACACGCTAAACATATATAAATTGCATGGCTATCATAAAACTTTGAAATAAGTGCGAAAAAATTATTTTTCTGATAACCGTTTACACGTATTAATACATTGCCCTTACTGTTAGAAACCTATATTACATGTATTGTTAGATTTGTGAAAAGCAATAAAAAATGAATGTATAATCTACCCGGTTAACGTCACCTGTCACTGTCTGAACTTAATTTCAAAACATGAAGCCCAGAGTCGACCATCTCCATCCCCTGGATCTAAATTTAGACTTTAATTATACACAGATCTGATCTCTGAGAAGGACAATGAGTTTTACATAAAACACATCATTCTATTATAAATAGAGGTTCTCAAGGTATGATATTCATAATGAAAAGACAATATAAAATATACTGACTAGGGATATCATAATATAGGTTTTATCATAGGAGCCATGCTGGTTAAGTGAGTAAAACACTCACTCACTAGTCTGGAGGTCGTTGTTGGCCGAGAAAGTTCATCGGGATTTTCCGGCGTGGTGTTCCCTCGTCAGTGGTACAGGTCGGAGAGTCTGACAAGGACAGCTGTATAGTCGTTTTGGTGGACGAAAAACCGAAGTCCCGTGTACACTGGCCGCCACGTAAAAGATCACTTGGCAGTTGGAATTCGATATAAGAGTAGACCATAGCGCTGCTGTCCGGGCAAAAATTTCCCTGAAAGCACACTGTTGGCATATGACAGTGTTCAGTTATGCAGTAGGAGCAGAACTGTAGGACGTTAAACCACATTTCCTTTCATTTCATTTCAGGTTTTACCATGGTATGAGTTTCTAATAAATTTAAAAATGTAAATTTTAGTTTTTATAAACAAATGACAATAATGGTTTCAAACGTAAAGCTTAACCATAAACATGACATGTAGAAAATGTTATAACATGTTAATGTCAGATTTCTGATGATTTTTCTACTAAATTACTGTATTACATAAACCTAGATTTTAAATACCACTATCACCATGTGTTCATTTATATTATTTAGAAAAATGTTTAATATAAATACTATAATAATAAGTCTAGTAATACATGAATGTATAAAAGTTATTGATTTATTTTACCACATATGTTATTGAATATTTTACTTATGATACATTTATACCTATAGTTGATACTTTAAAGAGACATAGTCAATCCTCCAAATAGCTTTATTTAACGTCCGCTTCCATATTATATTGCCAACTATGGCAGTTTTGGAGATAAATGTAAATGAAACGAAATAAAATAGGATTTAACGGCCTACTGGAATACGTCATGCATTGTGCTGTGAGTGAAATTATTTCGAATTCCAACTGTCATGGGTTCTGTTACGTGCATGCCAATGTGTACCAGGGATCGCTATTTTTCTTTTGTGTATCATCCGAACGACTATACGCTGTCCCTTGCCAGGCTGCCCTATCATTGAAGAGATACTTGATAATTATGTACGAAACAAGTAAGGTCAATGTACATGTTTGACATTAATACAGACTAATTATTGGACGTCTGCTTGATTTGATTTTTAGGGTGACTATCTTTGTTCAAAATTTACGTCCATAGATAAAGCAAATGTTGAGATATAGCCGATTATGTGTATTTTATTAAGCATGTGAAGCATATCTAATAGGATTCCTCACGCTCTTTCGAATATTTTGTTTGCCCAGCAGTTATACGACAGCTTGTGTTACAGTGTGTAACAAACAGGTTTAGGCCCATTGCACGGTAACTAAAAGTCGTTTGTTTTCGATTTGATAATCCCATACTTAGCATTTTGGTCTGGTCTTTAATCTAAAAAAAAACGTTTAAACATTTTGGGGATGCAATGTACTTTTATTCAATGGTAACCACATTCACGACAGTAACCTACAACCTCAGAGGTATAATCACCATTCCCTCTTAAGGCATTAAAGACAGTATGTGTTTAGTGAACTTATTCTTATTATTAAAGTAAGTAAGTCATTATATTTACAATTTCATAATATTGTTCAGCTAAATAGTACTCGTTATAAAATTATATATTATAACTAGATATTTAACTTAAATAATACGCTGATTAAATAAATAATACGCTGATTAAATATCTTAGACATGCCAAATACTTTTTGCTTTCAAAGTAATCTATATTATAATGTTTCCATCATTTCCTCCAATCCGGGTCCAACCGATTCCACTGTCAATGTCCGAACCCTTGTTTGGGAAGCGTAAGGGGCTACCGAAATAATTCGGTTATTTTTCTCGCCGAAATTGCAAGCAGAGTCCGTGCTTTCTTCAAAATTGTCGACCCATCTTTTTATGTCGTTTGCCAATTTAACTACATTCATTGTGTATTTACATATCCGTATAATTTAATGAAATTATTAAATAAGTAAAACAAAAAAGAGGGTGTTAACGATAAATAGCAATGTAAATAGAAGTTCCAAATAGTTTCAAAAGAAATGACTAAAATTATGTGTATTTTGCGTCAAAAAACCCCAAAAAACAATCTTTATGAAGTTTATTGATATAGCAGATATCATAATATTAAGAAAGGGTTAAAGTAACATTAGACGTTTCAACAAGAAACTGATGTAATAAAATCTACATAATATTAATATCATTTTAAAAAAAAACTTTGACTGGGGGCCACGGTTCAATCCTAGTATTGTTCGAGAAAGTTCCTTGGGATTTTCCGACGTTATTTCCCCTTGTCAGTGGTGCAGGGCGAAGGGTCTGGCAATGAACAGCGGCTATATTCGGGTGGGAAGCTAATATGGGCATATAACGAAACATCGTGCACCTAAAAGAACCCGTGACAGTTGGAATTCTTTGCTGTCCGGGCAAAATTTCAGAAATAGCACACTGTATTACAATTTATAATGCACGATTTCATTATCCCGGTTGGTGCAGACGTTAAACCCACCTCTCTTTTAAAACCATTATTTGATTATTCTTTTTAGGTCAATAAAAATGGGTGGAGTACTTGGGTTTTTTAAACCTGAACTCAGTGAATTCCAGAAAAAGAAGCTAATGCACGAATTTCATACATTTTTTGGTAAGAAAAATGAATTGGATATTTATTGTCGGGGGTATTCAGTTTTTGAGCACACGAAATTTACTAGAAATGGTTCCGCGTCTTCCGTCTTGCTCCAGCCACAGTAGTGGACCGTCTTAAGGCCTTCCTTTGAGCAAGTTTTGTAGTCAACTGACTACAAAAAGGTATGGCCCATAACTCCCTTAATTTCCAATAATACTGTACTGTACATGACTTAAATATAATAAGATAATTCCCATTGAAATAACGGTGAAACCTTATCGTATAATTATATGATTTGATTAAACCCAACTTCTATGCGGAATTTCTGTTCAGTTTAAAATGGCCGCCGAACCAGAATCACTGGGTGTCATGTCACTCGAAAATACAGAAAAACTGTTCGGTAAGATAAGATTATGATTTCAGTGTCCAACTCTTCACTATTTGTAACATAAGTACTTATTTCCCTGCAAACTGTGATGATATGTGTTGAAAATTTTGCAATTGAGCCTAATTTTACTTGCTCAAAGTCTCGAATAGTGTATCAATTGCAGCCGTAGATAGGAATTATCATGGCTAAACATTGCAGCTAGAAATTTACCAGTTGTTTTCACTCACAATTTACTCACTTCTATTCATTTACGCATTTCCGCCATTTAAAAAATAAAAACAGCTGCTCCCAGGCAAGATACGCCCACATTTTGCAAGAGATAGATAGAGAACAAGATAAAAAAACAACAAATTTTCGTACAATCAGGGGTCATAATCCAAGAAGTTATGGTCTGAAATGCGCGAATATCGACATGGACTGAGATCTTTGGGATATAAAGATATATTTTAAGTTTCATCTAAATCGGACAACAATTTATTGTGACCTCTAGAGGGTCCACAAACTTCGTATTACAATTTGTGTACAAGGAGCGGCCATTCTGTCGGGCAGTTTCGGTTCGATTTTCACAAAATTCGAACTCAACCTTCATTGATGTGTAACGGTGATATATTTGAACGGTTTTTTTTAAAGTCGGCCATTTCGTCAGACAGTTTTGGTCAGATTTTTTCGAAATTCGAACTCAACCTTCATTGATGTGTAACGGTGAAACATTTAAACGTTTTTAAGAAATGTGACTTCTAGCGGCTCCACAAGCTAAAAATGCGATTTACCTAACAATTAGGGGCCATAATCCAGGAAGTTACGTTCGGATATGCGCGATTATCAAACTGAACCAAGATCTTTGTGATTTAAACACAAATTTAAAGTTTCATCAAAATCGGTTCAACATTGTGGCCTCTAAAGGGTCCACAACTTTAATATACCATATTTTTACACTATTTGCATACGAGGGGCGGCCATCTTGTCCGGCAGTTTTGGTCCGATTTTCACGAAATTTAAACTCAAACGTCATTGGGATGTAACGGTGATATATTCAAACGTTTTTGGTTTGGTTTTTTTTAATTGGATAAAAAATGTGACCTCTAGAAGGACTACAATCTAAAAACGCGATTCAGGAAGTAACGATCTGATATGCGCGAATATCGAAAGGAACCAAGATATTTGGGTTATAAACATGTATTTGAAGTCTCATCAAAATCGTATCCAAACTATGATCTCCAGAGGGTCCACAGCCTTGATATGCCATATTGTTTACACTATTTGCGTACGAGGGGCGGTCATTTTAGTTTTGATCCGATTTTCATGAAATTTGAACTCAATCGACATTACAGTGTAACGGTGATATATTCGAACGTTTTTTTTTTTAAATCGGATAATAATTGTGACCCCCTACAAGACTACAATCAGGGGCCATAATTCAGGAAGTTACGATCCGATATGCGCAAATATCGAAAGGAACCAAGATCTTTGGGTTATAAACATGCATTTCAAGTTTCATAAAAATCGGTTTAAAATTGTGACCTCTATAGGGTTCACAAGCTAAAAACGTGATTTTCCGTACAATCAGGGGCCATAACCCATGAAGTTTCGATCCGATACATGCCAATATCGAAAGCAACCGAGATCTTTTGGAGATAAACCTATATTATTTCAAGTTTCGTCAAAATCGGATAAGAATTGTGACCTGTAGAGTGTCCACAAACAATTGTGGACGGACGGGCGGACAGGCAGGGGAGACGACATGAAAATGTGGGCGTATAAAAATTGTGATCTGTAGAGTGTCCACAAACAAATTGTGGACGGACGGATACGGGCGACGTCATAATACCTCCACATGAAAATGTGGGCGTGTAAAAACGGAACAAATTTTTTAATTGTCTTAGTTTATAAAGTCTAAAATCTTTCCAAACTTTATAAAATCTCTATGTATAGGTTGCGGTTTGTGGGGTTTATTCAAACGTGTCTACATTTGGTCGTGTTTAAAATGCTTGCTATAACTGTTAATCGAGGAACGTTCAAATGAAATAAAATTGTATTTATCATAGTAACCTATAATAAGTAGATCGATATTCTACATTATCAGCTGTTGCACTATAGAAAATAAATAAATCCAATCGTAATACATGTAAGTCGATAAACAAAATGCATTAAACAATCCGGCAGATAATTATGAAGTAATAGTGTTGTATATTTACTGTTCAGATTTAATAGAAATTGCGCTGGGGTTTGAATCCTCAAGGTGCAATCTTTCGTATGGTTGACAAAATTATCTTGTCTGAGCAACTTGATACAGAAAACTTTATTTTAGTCTAAAACATTTACCAAACATGCTTTCTGCGTTAAGGAGTATTGTGTACGGCGACAATCTCATTAAAATACACATCTATATTTCGATGCCCTCCACGCAGGTTAAATTATAAAAAAACGAAATGAAATAGGATCAGATCGGCACGGTAACTGCCAGGTTAGATCTATTTGATACGGCCAACATTTTCAAAGGTCACGAGATGTAAACAGGGCTAGCGCTAATCCCAACCCTTATAAACCTGGGGCCTGTTTCACGAAATTTTAACTAAGATAAAATCCAAATTTTAGTAATTTGATTGGATAATATTAGATTGATTTTAGTGCTTAGCTAACAGGGCCCAGAACCTAGAACTAATGCTTACCCTAACCTACAATCTCGCAAACAATCACGTCCCCTAACTTTATTTATGTCTTGGCGACGTTAACGAAATTTGAGCTGGCCTTAACAAATATATTTAGCCGTAACTGCCACCAATTAAAAATTATTTCTTTTAGATCTGAATAAAGATGGAAAGTTGGAATGGAAAGATTTTGATTTAGCAAGACAAGTGAGTTAACTTTACAGCTATTCGTCCTTGTAGATGTTTATCCGTGCCACTGTTTATTTGTGTGACACACTTCCAACATTACAATGTTTACAAACATTGCGAGAAATAGCGAGTAGAGAAGTGGGTGAGGTGAGGGTAATGTTCACCCGAAGCAGTGGGGGGAAACCAGAGGACCAGAAGAAAAAACAGGAGTTGGGCAGACATTCATTGCCACGCGCAAACTTCGGGTCGTAACCACGCAACTTGACTCAATGGTAGACCTTATAGTTACCCCCACCCCCCGCCCTCGCCCCCAACCAACCCACACTTCACCCACCATGCTACATACAATAGTACAATCAATCTAGAATGTTATGGTGGATGGCAAGGTCCTTTACGTCGAAACACCCATTCACAAAATACCAGTATGCACTGAATGTTATAGAAATCTAATGAAAATGTCTAATAATTGCAATGACAGTTGGGTGGATGGGATCATTCAATTTTGATTTTAAAATGTTTAAATGTTTAATTCTCAATGTTTAGAGAGTGTGTGAACTAAGTGGTTGGAAAGTCGGTACTGAAAAATATATGCAAACACAGGATATATTTATAGAAATATGGAGGAAATTACAAGATGATGGTGATAGTAATTGTGATGGTGTTATTACAACAGATGAATGGGTAATTAGTTTTATCACTATACAAGTATCAAATTATGAAATTAAATATAAATTTAAAATATTATTCATATTTATTATTATTCATTCGTTCTATACTATATCTAGTAAGCTCTAGTTGTTCGGATGGAACGTTGCAAACAGTATACGAATAATACATTATATTATATAGTAAACGTCAAAACCTATTTATATCATTTCTTCAGATTCGCATGTGGGAATCTTTTAATGATGAATGTATGAAGAAAACCGAGAAAGATGTTGATGCGGCTAGTTTAGTACCAACGTGGTTAGAGAAATATATATTATATAAGTTTAACTTATATGACAGAACAGGTATTCTTTTAAAAATATATTTTTACTGTTGGGGGGGGGGGGGGGTGTTATTATATACGGTCTTTAATTCACCTTTGATTTACTCCTTGATCCAAAAATATTTCTGGGTAAAAGGCGAAGAGATAATTTAGCGACACAATAAATCCATAAAACATGAGATATTAGAGTAAAATATCGGCTAGCCCTTTTTTTTAAAGTTACAACAAACCAGATCGCAAATTTCAAAAGGGAAATATACAGATTATTGTTTATAGAAATATTATTGGTTTATTTACATTACATTTATTCAGGTGGTGGTGTAAAATCAAAAGAAATCAATGTTGATCAATCTCAATGATTTGTAGACCAAAATGTTTATCTTAATAAGATTGTGTATATATGACCTTAAACTTCATATTTAACCTTAATTCTGGCATGTTGGAGCTTTAACGACGAAAGCATGTATTTTTGTGTTTATGTTAGGAGATGGGGTGATAGATTTAGAAGAGTATGAATATGTCCTTTCTGATTTCGGCGTTCCAGCCAAAGACGCCAGAGCAGCTTATTTAATGTTTTCAGAGGTATGCCCCAGTTTAATTAGCATTTTCACTATAAACTTAAAATTTAAACAAAATTTCAGCATAGCTTTTGATGCCGTCATTGTTAGATGACGAGTAGATAATACTGCTCGGTGGTCAAGGGTATAATGCAATTCATAAACGAGACTGGATTTCGTTGCCACTTCTGAGTCAATTTTGCAGTCGCTATAATTTATACCTTCACTTTTCAATGTTTTGCGCCTCCTCCATTGAATCACCATATAAATGGTAAGCCCATCTAATTTGATAAAGTGTTTATTATGCTATCACGTCCTGTCTAACGACGTGATTTTTTTTCGAGTCGTCCGGTAACAGATAAAGAACCATACGCACCAGTCTGATTAAAACATAGATACTATTTCGTTTCGTTTTTTATAGTTCAAAATTTCGTTTTACTTGTCTTCACAACACTAGGATCTGGAAGGGTTGTTATATAACAGGCGCTCTGGTTGATATGAGGAATTAGACAATAAAACTGTCTGTGACGGGGAGTTCTTGGCGTGCCCAGCACGGAACGTTGGGTAAATCCCTAGAAACGTCAACGTTGATTGATTAATCAATGTCTGGCTTCATAGTATCAAAAGCCTCTCGTACGACACCCTGACACAACCTTCCAGTACAATTGGTCAGATCTTCATGTAGTGTAGGCCATCAAAAGTATTAAAAAACCGAAACGAAATATAGATCTGTATTTTAATCAGAATGCATACGCGCAAGCGAAGTATTGAATTGAATATTGTACCAAATACTTGTATCAATGGAGGAGGGAGAGGGTTTAACATCCACTCGACACAAACTAGGTAATTTTGGGACTACATAATATGATTCAATTTTATCTCAATATTTCGCTTACGCATAGGGGTATTTAGCGGGGGCGGGAGACCCAGAGAAAACCCACCTTGTTGGACAAGCGGCCCTATTCCCTGTCACGTACAAGCAGGGAATCGAAACCACGCCACTTGACTCAATGACAGACCCTGTGATTTCACCCGCAAGCGTTAAACCACTAAACATCTCTACAACTTAAATAGAAGTTCGCATCCATTGCTTTTTACAATATCCATGATATAGCCTTAGTAATATTTTATTTCAAATTTAGACTAATTTGATTTTTTTCTATATTATTGTCGCTACCTTTTTTTCAGAATTACAACAAAAAGATTGACATAGATTATTTCAGAATTTTATCAGCCGAATACTTCCGTTCAAATGACCCAGGTGCTTTAGGTAACTTTATCACAGGGAAACTAACCTTCGATGACTGAAGTTATATGTGACTCTGTTCTAAACTTAAAACAAAGGTCACTGATTATTCAATTTCTTTCCATAAGGTACAATTAAAATGTAAATTTGGGACTTTTTTAATGACTTATATATCGATGTATTTAATGTTAAGTGTTATTATAAAATCATTGTTAAAAGATGCTGTTGTTTTTATGATGTATACAAATAATGCAAACATTTTGAAAACATCAATCGGGCTACGCTTGCCCTCACTAGTTATCTTCTACCTAGTAGATTCGATTTATGAAATCCTAATCCAAATCATCCACCCAGTACACTACAGGATGTCGTTGATAAGAAGGCGATATAAGTAAATTTCCCCTATTGACATCCACTAAGCATTGTCGAACATTATCAGTAGTCCAGCGGATGAAATCGGCAAGATCCAGTCATGAACGCAAGTGGAATTGTCGCAAACGATAAGTGCAATAATCCAAATTGGTACCCGTTGTTTATGAAAGGATAAGCCCCTCTCCGTTATTCGAGTATATATAGCACCTAAAAAAATTAATTTCGTCGATACATAAAACATAATATTTATGATCTGTGAAATATTTTGCCACTTAAACTCAAAATTTGCTATTGTGCCTAGTGGGTGAATATACGCAAGTTGTTATAGCTGTATATTGCACGGTATATTTTGCATATCATCATAATTCTAGTTTAAGATTTAATAGGATATGGTTAGAATTCATAGCACACAACATTAAAAACATATTACACAAATGGAATAAAAACATAATCATAATATCACACAAACGAAACATACGCCCACAGCAGTCGACAAGGGTTGTCACATATTATATTTATTCTTTTGTAAGTAATGACCAATGGGTGCATCTACAAGACACTGATATCAATTTCATACACACCAGGTGATAACTTTAGAAGTAATATACGGAAATTGATGAAATTCTAAGATTCTTTGTTTTACTAATCTAAATTGTGCATATAAATTTAATACAGATCTGATGATAACTTTTGTCGCCAGAGCATTCACATGGTTCAACAAAGTGAAACAAGGACCCTAACATTAGAAGTCATAAATACATAATTTGCTGAAATTCGACAGGCCTCTCGTTTTACTTACCTAAATAATGCAAATGGATTTAATACAGATCGGAGGATAAATTAAACAGGATCCTTTGTCTCACTAATGTTAACCACATAATAGATAACCTACACTTAAAAAAGATCAGATAATAAATGTACAGTAGTTTGTAGAGTGTTCACAAGAAATTGTGGACGACGAAAGGACGCATGGACGGAGGCGATGGCAATATACCGGCACATGTCCATGTGGAAGTATAAAAACATAATCATAAAATCACATAATGGGTTAAAACATAATCATAATATCACACGATGTTAAACGCATAACCATAATACCATACAAATGTATTATAATAAACATAATCATAATATCATATAAACTGATTAACAACATAACCATAATATTACATCAATGGATTAAAAACATAATTATAATACCACACAAATGGATTAAAACCATAATAATCATAATAACATGCACAAGGATTATAAACCTAATAATAATATAACATGAATTGGCAGAGAGCCTCGCCCCTAATAACGTAACAAGAACAACGCGATGCGTAGCGGTTGGGGCCCTGTTTCTGGTCTAATAATGAGTAAGATTAAACCCTCGGCTTGATCAAAAATAAGGTGTTATGTGTACATGTATGCAACTATATTTATGAAATTAATTTCGGATTTCTGAATTATCATAAATGTTTATATCAGTTATAATTTCGGATTTCTGAATTATCATAAAAGTTTATATCAGTTGAAGCAACTTGGCAGCTTTTTCTTCCACCGCTTTTTTGTCTGTTTTTCCATTCCGATTGAGTGGAAAAGAATCAAACTTTAAGTAATATTTTGGACAGGCCGTCTTATCGTTAGAATTATGATTTACAAACTGTTTCTTACAAAATTCATTTACGTTATCAGGCGTAATATTTGAATTTGGTTTCGGAAGAAAACAAGCACAAATTTCGTTAAATAATTCTTCATCGGGAACTTTAACAACAAGAACATCAACCACACCAGAGCATCCTCTAATTATATTCTCAATCCATGATGGATGAAAATAGTTCTCCCCTCGCATTATAACATCATTAAATCTGCCTTGTACTATCATTTCGCCGTTTTCACATAAACAGCCATAATCATTAGTTAGAAACCAGCCATCCTCTGTGAAAGCTGAGCGTGTTTTATCCTCTTCTCCGACATATCCTTTAAAAACACTTGGACTTTTGACCAAAATATGACCATATTGTCTTGTGTGAACCTCGTCCATATTATCATCAACAATTTTTACGGTGACTCCTTTCTTCAAAAATCCTGCATCAAAATCCTCAAATCCTGAATACTTGGTGATTATCTTAGCGCTGACCACCCCGATTTCTGACATCCCATATGTATTAATTACAGTTTTGGTTAAAGTGTCAATAATTGATAGTACGTTCTTTTTTAATGGCTGTCCAGTAACATACGCTATCTCTAATGGCCATTTGGGATAAGTAATTGAATCCGTTTGATTTATATGCATCAGACGCAGGGCTGTCGCTGCTGATAATTTAGCAACCCGGCACTTTTCTTGCATTATAATGTCTCTAAGAAATTGAAAATACTCTGCATCCTTTGGAACATTACTATGATCTAATGAAATCCTTTTACAGCCTGTTTTCAAATACCAAACGGGCAAACCCCAAGCCCAATTAAATGGATGGGGGTCTAAAATAGAAATTTCAGGTTCGTTGATATCCGAAAATATCATATCACCCAGGTATTTTAGGTTACGGTGGCTATATAAAATCAATTTTGAGATTCCAGTTGTTCCCGAAGAAATCACTATAACGACACCATCATCAGCTTTTATTGATAATTCTTCAACGCGTTCCGTTGACTCTACTTGATCTTGCCACACAAATCCTAAGTCATCCGGTAATGTATTCGATCCGGTATAAATGACGTACTTTAGATGTGGCAATTTACTGGATATCACCCGATTGCCAGAGACGCTATCAAAATGTCGAGACAAAATTTGATTGGCTTGGTTATCAGGATCGGAGGAAAGTATGACAGCTTGGCATTTTGACTTATGTAGATTATTTAGAAGATATGTCCCATCCGCCACATGAATCGTACTGTTCTGGACAATACCACCAGCACATATAATTCCAAAGAAGGCTACCAGACCTTCAGGTGAGTCAGGAATGAAACTGCAGACCACGCGTCCTGGTTTAAATCCAATCAGAGCCAGATGATTTCCAAATTTCATCGACCGATCATAAATTTCTCGTGATGTAAGCGTTGCCCTAGGTTTGTTTCGCGATACAAAAACTATGGCTTCTCGGTCAGGTTGCTGTTTAGCCCAATATCTGAGTCTCTTTGGAACAGTATCCGCACTTTCAAATGATTCCATTTTAAGTATTCTAAAAGAAGAGGATCATATTTAAAATGAGTATGTTATTTAACAAATAAAAGTACACAAAGTAATATGATTTATACGTCCCACATTGTTGCGTTTGATAAATCCGACGTTTCGTAGAAAAAGAGGAGTCACAGTGGCTAAGTCGCTGGCTGGCTAGTCTGGAAGTTGCGTGTTCGATCCCTGCATTGACCGAGAAAGTTCATCTTGTTAGTGGTGCAGAACAGCTGTCTAGTAGTGCGGATAGGACGAAAACCCGAGGTCCCGTGTATACATTGGCATGCACGTAAAATATCCCTTGGCAGTTGGAATTCGATATAATAATGCCGCTGCCCGGGCAAAATTTCGCCCACAGCACACTGTATGGCGTATGTCCGTCTTCATTAGCCCATTCAGTCGGAGCAGAACAGGTGGACGTTAAACCCCATTTCATTTCATTTCCAAGAAAAAGAATCAAAAGCTTGCGAGGAAGATGCAGATAACATCTATACCTCAAACAGATTTGTCGCGTTCCAAAGGCTCGACCTATCAAATTTCTCATCATCGAACTTAGTCAATGTATTGATATAATGAATCTATATTCAGAGTTTCATCGCTCTCACCCAATTAGAAAGTTATCGTGTTCCAAAGTCTCAGCCAATCAAATTGCTTATCTCTGCTTAGCCTTAGTGGAAGATGCGCATTATCGAACGATGTCAAGACGTTCACTTAATAGACACCTACGCCAATTTTGAACATTCTACCTCAATTAGAAGGAGAGTTATTGTGTTCCAAAGTCTCGACCAATCAGATTGAAGTCGCTACTTTGCCTTAGCAGAAAACGCTCAGCATTAGACCTTGTTAAAGATACATTATGGGAGATTCGATAACGAGTTGGCAGTTCTCACTATAATAGTTAACCAGCGGCTGCCAGGCAGGATACGCCCACATTTTCGAGAGATGGATAGAAAACAAGCTAAAACGAAAGTGATTTTTCCTACAATCAAGGGCCATAATTCAGGAAATTACAATTCGATATGCGCAAATATCGAAAGGGACCAAGATCTTTGAGTTATAAACTTACATTTCAAGTTTCAAAAAAATCGGATAAAAATTGTGAGCTCTATAGGGTCCACAACCTTGATATACCATATTTTTAAGCTATTTGAGAACGAGGGGCGGCCATTTTGTCTGTCATGTTTGGGCCGATTTTCACGAAATTCGAACTTAGCCGTCCTCAGGGTGTAACGGTGATATAATAATACGTTTTTTTAAATCGGATAAAAAATTATGACCTCTATAGGGTCCACAAGCTAAAAACGCGATTTTTGGGTTATAAACTTATATTTCAAGTTTCAACAAAATCAGATAAAAATTGTGACCACTATAGGGTCTACAACCTTGATATACCATGTTTTTACGCTATTTGAGAACGAAGGGCGGCCATTTTGTCTGTCAATTTTGGGCTGAATTTCACGAAATTCGAACTGAGCCGTCCTTCGGGTGTAACGGTGATATAATAATACGATTTTTTTTAAATCGGATAAAAATTATGACCTCTATAGGGTCCACAAGCTAAAAACGCGATTTTCCGTACAATCAGGGGCCATAATTCAGGAAGTTACGGTCCGATATGCACGAATATCGAAAGGAACCGAGATCTTTGGGTTATAAACTAACATTTCAAGTTTCAACAAAATCGGATAAAAATTGTGACCCCTATAGGGTCCACAACCTTGATATACCATATTCTTACGCTATTTGAGAACGAACGGTGGCCATTTTGTCTGTCAATTTTGGGCCGATTTTCACGAAATTCGAACTCAGCCCTTCTTAGGGTTTAATAATACGTTTTTTTAAATCAGATAAAAATTATGACCTCTATAGGGTCCACAAGCTAAAAACGCGATTTTTCGTACAATCAGGGGGCATAATTCAGGAAGTTGCGGTCCGATATGCGCGAATGTCGAAAGGAACTGAGATCTTAGACTGTCATGGACCATTTTGATCCACTTCCACAGAAATTTTGCGAGGGTACCACGTGACGAGCAAGGTCGATTTAGTGGGGGTAGCCGTGAGACAAGTTCCGCGGAAGATCTGAAAAAATTAGAAACAATCAATTCAAACGTCTCAGAATTCCGGTTCGGGAATTGGGCCCAAAAGCAGCTTTTTTCAATCGTGTTTTGGGCGTGGATTTCGCCCACTTCCGGTATCTGGAAGGCCATTTTTATGTGACCGGGCGACTTTTCGGGGTTAATAAAGTTACAAATACCCAATCTGGGACCCTGCCCAAGAGCCGTTTGGAATGTGACGTTATACCTAAAATGCCGCCGGGGAGAGGGTCTGCCAGCTAAGGTCATGACCTTGACCAGTGAGACAGCCCCGTCACCGGCCTTGTTTGCCGTGACCTTGGAATTGACCTTGACACTTATGGCGAAATTCTGGACGGTACATGAAGTTTTGGGATTTTTTCAATACCAAGGTCAAAGTTCAGGTCAAATGGTCAAGACCAAATTCAAATGGTCAGTGGGGTGTCCATCCAAGGTCATGACCTTTGACTTGCCACGTAGAACTTGGGCCCCGCGAGGGCCCGAGGAAGACACGTGTCGGTAGAAATTATGGTGACCTTGACCCTTTCAGATGACCTTGACCCTTTCAGATGACCTTGTCATGATGATATGTCGGAAGGTCAAGGTCTTGTGGTCTTGAATTTATTAGTTTTGCCCCTAGGGGGCAAAAACCGATAAACTTCCGGGGCCCCTAGTGGGTCAAGGTCGCGACTTTTTGTGGGCGAAATATAAAAATGAAGAACAAATATGGGGTCGGTCTATCCGGTCACCAAATCCCGGGCCGATGGGAAGACATTTTTGGGCAAAATTGTCTGTGAAAGTTAAATAGCTTGCTTTTTACTGCTGTGGTCAAAGGGGAGATAACTGGCATCTAACGACCTTGAGGTCGCGGCCTTTTGAACTAAATCGACACCTGGGAGTCGCGTGGTGATCTTGGTTTGATCCTTCAAGGTCAAGGTCATGGTCAAATGGCTATCATTGACCATTTTGTCCCACTTCAGGTCGCCGCAGAAAATTTTCGAGGGCACCACGTGACGCACAGAAATTGCACAAGTATATCTACGGGAGTACGTCCGGACGTCCGTCCGTCCACAATTTGTTTGTGGACACTCTACAGGTCACAATTCTTTGTTTGATCCTTCAAGGTCAAGGTCATGGTCAAATGGCTATCATTGACCATTTTATCCCACTTCCGGTCGCCGCAGAAAATTTTCGAGGGCACCACGTGACGCACATGGGTCGCTTTAGTAGGGGTAGCCGCGAGGACAAGTTCCGCGGAAGATTTGGAAAAATGAGAAAAAATAATTAATAAACTGCAAAAAATATTCCCCACAAAAAACCGCCAGAATTCCTCACAATTTTGTCACTTTTACCCCTCAATTGCCGTCCGAAAACATATCGCGCAAGTAGAGTTCGTACCCCCATGAAGCCCGCAAGTCAGAAATTGCACAAGTATACCTAAAAATGCCGCCGGGGAGAGGGTCTGCCAGCTAAGGTCATGACCTTGACCCGTGAGACAGCCCCATCACCGGCCTTTTTGGCGTGACCTAGGAATTGAATATGACACTTATGGCGAAATTTTGGACGGTACATGAAGTTTTGGGACTTTTTCCCGGGCCGATCGGAAGACATTTTTCGGCAAAATTGTCTGTAAAAGTCAAATAGCTGGCTTTTTACTGCTGTGGTCAAAGGGGAGATAACTGGCATCTCCCGAATCGCATCTGACGACCTTGAGGTCGCGGCCTCTTGAACTAAATCGACCCCTGGGAGTCGCGTGGTGATCTTGGTTTGATCCTTCAAGGTCAAGGTCATGGTCAAATGGCTATCATTGACCATTTTGTCCCACTTCAGGTCGCCGCAGAAAATTTTCGAGGGCACCAGGTGACGCACAGAAATTGCACAAGTATATCTACGGGAGTACGTCCGGACGTCCGTCCGTCCACAATTTGTTTGTGGACACTCTACAGGTCACAATTCTTATCCGATTTTAACGAAACTTGAAATATAGGTGTATCTCCAAAAGATCTCGGCTGCTTTCGATATTGGCATGTATCGGATCGAAACTTCATGGATTATCGCCCCTGTTTGTACGAAAAATCACGTTTTTTGGCTTGTGGACCCTATAGAGGTCACAATTTTTATCCGATTTTGTTGAAACTTGAAATGTAAGTTTACAACCCAACGATCTCGGTTCCTTTCGATATTCGCGCATATCGGACCGTAACTTCCTGAATTGTGGCCCCTGATTGTACAAAAAATTGCGTTATTGGGTTATGGACCCTATAGAGGTCATAATTTTTATCCGATTTAAAAAAACGTATTTTTATATCACCGTTACACCATAAGGACGACTGAGTTCGAATTTCGTGAAAATCGGCCTAAAATTGACAGACAAAATGGCCGCCGTTCGTTCTCAAATAGCGTAAAAATATGGTATATAAAGGTTGTGGGCCCTATAGAGGTCACAATTTTTATCCGATTTTGTTGAAACTTGAAATGTAAGTTTATAACCCAAAGATCTCGGTTCCTTTCGATATTTGCGCATATCGGACCGTAACTTCCTGAATTATGGCCCGTGATTGTACGAAAAATCGCGTTTTTAGCTTGTGGACCCTAAAGAGGTCATAATTTTTATCTGATTTAAAAAAACGTATTATTATATCACCGTTACACACTAAGGACGACTGAGTTTGAATTTCGTGAAAATCGGCCCAAAAGTGACATAATTTTTATCCGATTTAATAAAAACGTATTATTATATCACCGTTACACCCCAAGGACGACTGAGTTCGAATTTCGTGAAAATCGGACCAAAAATGACAGACAAAATGGCCGCCCTTCGTTCTCAAATAGCGTAAAAATATGGTATATCAAGGTTGTGGACCCTATAGAGGTCACAATTTTTATCCGATTTTGTTGAAACTTGAAATGTAGATTTATAACACAAAGATCTCAG